TTTCTTTCAAATATCGAAGAATATTCTTACAATTTTCTAAAATACTAATATTTTTATTATTAAATCAAACTTAATTTATCTTTTCAATCTAAATAGTTTTACTTGTAAATAACATATTTTACTGCAGTTAAGTAAGCGTTCTGTCAACATGCAGCGATACATTGAGAGTTGAAAAATTGGAAAACTTTAACACAATTCATTTTCTGAAGTATCATTTTTCACAGACTAGATTCAATCATACGAATTCTTGTTAGTTATTTAGAAAAAAAAGAAGAAAAATTAAATTCCTTGCAGCCTCATGCATTTTGAGAAGTTCTGCAATGGTCACGTAGGAACTTGATGCATGCGAAACGGAAGGGAGACTGCATCCCTCTCTGTATCAAAATTCTCAGTGCTTCTTATAAGCGATGAATATATTCCTCGATGTACTATAATGTCAATTACGCGTTATACTCTCAAAATTAAGCTACAGCTAGTATTTTGCATAAACACAAAAGGGAATAATCCGATACATGCATCGTGTCAAGCCCTTTCTATTCATCGATAAGATTTGCCCCGATGCATCATTCTTCTAGAAAGGTTACGTAAAGCTTCATACGAAGCTTATACGCCCTCGAGTTTCCGCATTAAAATGTCCTCTAATAAACCAGCGATTTTGCTGTTTTCATAAAGCTTTTATTATCCGACAGAAGATTAACGTGGATATAATGCTTTTGATATCTCCTCATTTCAATTCAAATGTAATTATAGGAATTTTATATTCCTTTTCATCTCGATTATTTGTTCATGCACATTATATTTTTTTCCTTATCTTTCACACATACACACACACACAATTTAAAAATGCAAAATATTATTAAATTCTTTCAGAGAATTTTTCACCTAATAATATCTTATATATGTATTTTATATATCTTATATATATATATATATATATATATATATATATATATATGTATTTATATATGTGATTTTCATCAACATTCATTTCATGCACTTACTTTTTTGATTATTTAACTCTTTTTCACGCGTAATGAACAAATACAATTTTTTTTATTTGCATAGCAATTTAATATATATAACGCTTTACAATTTCAGCGAAAAATTTTAAAAACGCGAAAACTGCTGTTATTTTTTTCTATAGTGTATGTGTGTGTGTGTGTCCTAATCGAAATATGATAAAATAGTTTTTCCCTTCGATATTCAATTTGGGTGATAAAAACTGATGGGATTTTATGTTGTTATTTATCAAGGCAGGTTTACTTTTATACTCAATCAATATTTAAATGAAGTACTTCATAGATCGTTTGTACTAACTGTCTTACTAATAAAAACTATGAATTTTTCGCGAAAATTTTTTCACATTTTTTAATTTTTTGCATATCTTCAGATGTTCAATAGTTGATAATTTTAATTATTCGTAATTAATTTGAAATCTGTGCATAAAATTTAAATATTTAAACAATCTTTAAACATTTTTTATAACACCATTTCGCGAATACATGCCATTCGCGAATATATGTCATTCGTGTTTTGTCCATTTAAAGTCCAGGTCACTTCTTACCTGAGGGTGACTATACTAGAATTTGCCGGCAATATTTGTTATGCATGATCGATAACGGTTTATGTTTCTAAGCGAATACATACACACATTTGCTGGCCGAAGTTCTCCCTCTCTAATATTCCGTTCGTGACTTATACGAAGCGGCATTTCGAACGTGAAAAGCTATAGAAAAAGCTCTTGGTCCCTGGTCGCCGCTATGTCGAATGAAATTTGCATGATAAAGCGAGTTAATTTTTTTTTTGCGCGGGTGCAAAATTAAAATCTAGCGGACACCGCCGGCAAAAGAAGTTCATCGCGGAAAAAGAGGAGGACATTTTTATGCGTATCGTGCATGTATAAATTTTTAATATTGCGTCTCCCCCCCTCTCTCTTTCCCTTCGTTTTCTCACGTGCGCGCACGTGTCATTCGATAACTTTGATTCGCGAAAATATCTTGTTATTGCGAAGACTTTAATTAAGTCACTCGTGCTTATATCTTTTATCAATTCTCTCAAATATATCGAAATCTACCTGAATTTCTCGATACAGGATATTATCAATTATATTATATACAAAGAAAAAAGTCTACAAACGCGCGCATTTAAACTACACATTGGAACTTCATCTACTCGTGCGCAAAATATTCTTCCAGATACATACTCAACATTTATCTAAAAAGCTTAATAAAAGATAAAAAGATCTATTTCAAAAAATATTTTAACATGAAATTTAAAATTTTTAAATACTATGATTAGTCTCAATATTATTAATATCAATTTTATATTTATCATATACGGATCTTTCGGAAGTTCAAAAGTTACGTATTAAGCATGTGTCCAATTTGCCAGGACTCGCAAATTAGAACTATCGCGTGCGCGTGTATTGCATCAGAAGGAAGGACGTGCGTAAGTTTACGCAACACACACAAGTACGATATGTAAACGTGACGACGAAACATCCGATGTAAACAGCTGTCGAATTTAACAGGAGTGTTTCACTTGGGATATACTTGATCGTATCGTACTTGGGGATATACGTAAATTCTGGTTGCTAGGAGCATGAATCGCGATCGATACAACGATATCGATACGAATAGAAAAACGATGACGATTTGGATATTTCGACTCGATGGGCGGAACCGTGGATTCCGTTCGCGCTCCGCTCCAAGTATCGACCCGTGAAAGGCAGCTTCCAGCGACCTCAACCCCGTAACTGCCACCTACCCTCTCGTCACGACATTGAAACACGAAGTTAGCATCTTTGAGTGTCTCTCTCTACCTCTGCCTCTCTCCCTCCTTGGCTTCATAATTCAAAGGCTCGTCCTTATCAAGGACTTATGGAGGACGCCTCGAACTTCAAAGGAACCGCTCGATTATCATCACCATCTCAAGAGACGCGTTGAATAAAAAACGCGTTTTCTTTAAAAGATTACAAATCTGGTTGTTATATCGTGTTTAAAGAAGTGTCTTATCATTATTATTTTTAATGTGCAATAAAAGAGTACAGTTAATCGAACATATGCATAAGCTAATATGGCCAATGAAATTTCACCTTGATATATCAAACACTCATTTATCCCTTATCCTAAGTATAAATCGTAATTAAATTTAGCACGGATTTACAAATACGTTTTTTAAAAAAATTACTCTAGAAAATTTTTCGCTTCACCGATTCATTATTATTTTTAATGTGTAATAAAAGAGTACAGTTAATCATATATATGCATAAACTAACACGGTCACTATGTAAAACCAATGAAATTTCACTTTGATATATCAAACACTCATACCATTGATATTTTATTCTTTACTTAAGTATAAATCGTAATTAAATTTAGCACAGATTTACAAATACGTTTTTTAAAAAAATTACTCTTTGTTCCTTTCCGAACAAAAATTTTTAGTTGAACAAGATCCTCTTAGATATTTGTTTAGGTAATCAAAACTCTAGAAAATTTTTCACTTCACCGATTCAAGTAGGGCCACTACTCAAACGTACTTAATAATCGAGTTAGAAGCCGCGTTTTCAAAGTTTACAGGATCAACTATGATTATTGCGAGAAAAAGTCCCGCTTTTTCACATTGTACGAAGCAAACGTTATTACAACAGAGCGCTCAATTTCTGAAACAAGCGGTCTTTAATTAAAACGTTAATTCCGTTGACACAAGCGGAGAGCAACACGACACGGGAAATCGTACGTTCACGAAGTTACGATTAAACCGTTAAAACACACGCTGTTTTTGTTTTCCTATAAAAAAGTGATACACTGGCAAAACCAAGAGGAGAAAATATTGACATGACCCTCTGCCTATATCGTAGAAAATGCCTATGTATATAAAATAGAAGACGAGAAAAATAAAAAATGCACAGGATTCGATACTGAATTCAGCGAGAGATGATTAATGATGTATATCTATGCAAGAGAAGGTACGTTGATGTGTATATACGTTAAAATATGAGAGAAGTTGCCGATGAAATGTAAATTAATATGTAACGAGCTTGGAAATATAAGTCTCGAAAATAAATATCGCCACCGATGACATAAGATTCATGCTACGCGGTTGCATTATTTCTGATCATATATATGAATGAAGAATTCAAAACATATTTCAGCGATACTCGAAAGAAAATTATTAAAAAAAAGAAAAGAAATGAAAAGAAAAGAATTATTTATTTTAGCTTCATTTTCCACACACATAACAGTTATTTTCCACCGACAATCATGGGTTTAATTAATCTGCACAGTAATGGCTAGATATAAATTCACATTAAAGTTTCGTTTTGTGATAATTGCATTGCCTCGAGTATTTTAATGTATTATAACCACAGAAATGCACACGTACACTTTTTTTCATAATTCTGATTTGAAAAAAATGAAATTGAAAGATATTTTCGCGAAATAAAAATATTGCGAGAAACTGCTACTTTGTAATTAATATAAATCTTCCTAATTAATTTTTCATGGTATGATTAAACGTTCCTCTCTTGTATTTTTTATTACATTCTTTAACAATTTGATTTTTCTTCTTTGCGTGTAGATTTTAACGTTTTTGCTAAATATTATGTTGTAAGCACACACGGTTTACTTGTGACGGATTCAATATCATTTACAGTATTATAAATAAAATCGTATTGAATAAAAATAAATAAATATCAAGAATATTTGCCTACAGTGATATTTTTTCTCGGAACACGAGATCAAGTCGTTCTCTCTGGCTGCGTTGAAAATATTTCTGCATATAAATTCCAGCACAATTTTTCATCCGAGAAAAATGTTAGAAATTTCTTGTCGAAAAATTGTTCAATGGGAAATTGGAACGAGATGCGCGCACGCGTATAATTAATTAAAAATCTATTTATCGAATATTTAACGAGCACGTTTGGATCGAATAAACTCGGCGAGCTTCGCATCCAAGTTGTTAAAGCAAATTCTAATTATCTCCATTTTTTGTTTCAGGAATTTAACATTGCAAAGGAACAACATGCGGTACAACCATCGACAACTGAATCGGGTAATCATTCCTTCAATAGGATTGTGTTCCCACAATCTTACATTAGTTAAGATTATATTATAATTCAAATATAAAAAAGGGGCGAGCAGGCGGAATTCTTTCCTTAATACAATTTCTAAAAAAAGTATGTCTCCAAAAAATGATTAAATTATAAGCAATTAAGCCTCTTCCAAATCCATCTTATAATTAAGGTTTATAGAGCCTATAAATATACTTTATTTTATCTCTGAAAATTGCATTTTCAACGAATATATATAAAATTTTTTACATTTATTAACGATTTAAAATGTAATATTCCGAATCTCTAATATTCATTCAGACTCTCTCGATACGTCCCCGTTTCTGGTCGAATAAAAAATTTATAGGGCCACTGTCGTGCATAATTGAAAGACTCTCGAAAGCTATTTCCTGGCCGTTATTACCTTGATAATTTTTCATTCCGCTTAATTGTAATTTGTTTTCTATCTAAAGGCTTACCTCACCAAAGTCGCAGCTATCCAGGCGGTGGTGGTCGTACGTTGGCGAGGAACTCGTCCGTCAGCTCCCAGAGCTCGGTCGAGGGTGCGCCCTGTCCTTCGAGTCATCGCGGGTCGTCGCCTCAGATCAGAGCTTTCGGTCCTGATGGACGGCATCATGCTCGACACGATCCCCTGCACGCCGCCTCCTCGTATCCACCTAGCAGAAACTCGAGGTTAGTACGGAAAAAGTTCTCATTCTTCATTCTAAATTTTTTAAACAAAACGATATTCATTCGTTTTGTTTGCAAAATTCAGAATGAGAAAAAGACATCAAGAGACCATCGAATAAATTTTTTAAAGCTTTTCCAGAGAATGCGAGAAGAAAAAGATCTTCTTTAAAGCTTCGAAAAATAGATAGAATTTTTCTCCTTTTCAAACTTGCGGTTTTCAACAGAGTTTGCATAAAATTCTGATGATAGAGCATCAGAATATGAATAAAAAATACTGTCGCGAAAATTTATTCGTGCTACAAATATGTACATGCAAATGTCTAGCGTGTTGTTTTATAATGTATCGATTGTTCCATTCCAAGTTTTATTTAAATAAATAACAGCAGCCATTCATTTTTTTTCGTAATACTTCTTCGTATTTGCTGCAATTGTTTTCATTCACAAATTTTTAAATCATTTTTAAATATTCTTTCCCTTCTCTTCGCCGCACAATTTCCCTTGTGTAATTTAAAAATTTTGAAAAATTTTCCTAAAATAAACACACGTACAATTTTTTTACGCAATATTGCAATTTTTCTACACTCTTTTTCTATATTTTTTTTTGCATAATTTGGAAATTTTTCCATAGGTCCCCATCGCCAGCCCGGGGGTCGTCCTTGGATGCACGTTGTGCGAGTCCCGCTAGTAACTCGGGCAGTCTACATAGCGGAAATGCGTCGCCTTCGCAGACCTCTTTATCATCCGTAGCAACAGGCGTAAGTTCTACTTGTGGGTGTCCGCCGATGAATGCCATTCAAAGTACTTCCAGACAGACCAGTCGTTGCTTATCACCTCTTCTCATCCCACCGCCACGTGCTTCCATAAGGTAATAATAGAATTCTCTCAAAAGGTAATCAACTATATCAAAATTTTTATAAACATATGAATTCTCGCGTAAAAAGTTTTAATAAAATTCAGATAAACTAATTTAACAGAGAAACAAATATTTACACATTAATTATGTATCACTTTTATCAAATAAATCATAAATTTCTCGTAAATAAGATTCCCTTTTAATTTAATCTATTTACTAATTATTTGAAAGTACATTTTTTATAATATTAGCAAAACTTTTGATTGTCACGATTGATAATAAGATATTAATTAGCAAGAAGTCGCATAAAAATCTTCTCGAATTATTTTTTTCAAGTATTTTAGCTTTCATTCAATCATTTTTATCTCTTTACAAATTATATTTCTCTTATTTTCCTACAGTAGCGACAGTGGCCCCATTCCGCCTGCTTCTCCGCTCGGTTCTTTACAGCCGGATCTCTATCAAAGACGAGACGGTCCTGTCTTTCTCAGCGCTCGCAGGTACATAATAAAACTTTACTCATAAAACTTCATTCTGATAAAAAGCATATCTTAAGTTACTTTCTCTCGCGCTGCTCGAAAAAAATACCCGATTATTGCTAGAAATAAACATGTACATCTGTGAGTAAACCGCGATAATCGCAGGACGGGGAAGCAATTGGGCAGACTTCATTTGCGCTTGAGATACGACTTTGATAAATCGGACTTGGACGTGCATTTGATCGAGGCGCATGATCTCGCCGGTAGTGATCAGGGTGGCTTCAACGATCCCTATGTGAAATTGAGCCTCAGCCCGGAAGTGGACAGTAGGAAAAGGCAGACGCAGATCCACCGAAATGATCCGAATCCGTTTTTCGATCAGCACTTCAAGTTTCCTGTTAGCTACGAGGAACTGCAGGAGAAGACTCTAGTTTTGCAGGCAATTACATTGCGTAGAACGCAGAGTATCGAATTGTGAACGCGCGTTCCCAATTCGATTGTATAATCGTTAAAATAATATGATAATTTGCTTGATAATATACATGACGTGATGTTATTAGGTATTCGATTACGATCGCTTCTCGAGAAACGACGTGGTGGGTTCGCTGAGAGTGGCGATGGACAGCCTCGAACTCGTTTCCTCTACTTCTTCGGTGGAAGTTTTTGGTGAAATAGCGAGAGAACGCAAACCGCCGGAAGAGATTCAAGAGGTCTTGGTTTCATTGTCTTACTTACCGAGCGCTGAGAGGCTCACAGTGCTCATGATGAAAGCGAGAAATCTATTTCCCCAGCAGGTAGGATGTGGTCGTTATATCGCATAGACAACAAGAGCTTTCTTCTCTTCCTTCAATTGTCTTATGTCGCTCCTTGTCTGGAAAATAAAAATAATCTTTGTTTTATTTATTTCCGACTAAATAGAAAATTTCTTAAATAAATAAAACTTCTATAGATATATTCTATAGATATATTCTATAGATATATTTAAGTGTGTACGCCTGAATAATATATATTTTGATTAACATGGCACAGGATAAAGAGACGTTGGATCCGTTCGCAAAGGTCAGCCTGCTTTGCGGCGAAAGGCGAGTGAGAAAGAAGAAGAAAACAGCTGTTAGGAGAGCAACGATGAATCCCGTTTGGAACGAAGCGATGTCATTTAACATATCCGCTTCGTCACTAGCATCGTCAGCCATAGAGGTATCTAATTTTTTTAAGGACTAAAAATTACACAAATGATATAGATCGAACAAAGGAAAAATGATTAATTAATCACGCCTGCGCGTAAGATATGCGTGCTGGATTCGAGCAGCGAGTTGATGAGCGGAAACGCCATCGTCGGATCCTGCATCATCGGTCCGGCTACAGGTACGGACAGCGGTAATAGCCAGGGACGAGAGCACTGGCTTCAGATGACGCAGTCTCCGAGGAAGCAGATCGCCGAGTGGCACACGTTACATTAATCGAGAGCCATTTAATCGCCCTCAACATAATTCGCGCGTCCTCGCTTTCTCGAGGTAAATACAATCTATTGTCTAACGACGGATAATCGAATAATAGTACACCACGAATAATACACCTACCACGAAATACGTAGCGATATTGCATGTGAAATGGCAAGAAACACCGTGTATTTCCTATTCCTTTCGAAAAAAAAAAGAAAGAAAAAAGACAATGATCTCTATATCAAGAAACCGTATTCTTCTGCACTTTTATAAGTATATTAGTGGCCGTTAAAGATTTGCGATATATTCGTCTAGAATGTCGATGCGCAAAAAAAAAGAAGGAAAAAAAATAAAAAAGAAAAATAATCATAAATATTATCTTCGTATATTCGTGCACAAACTGATCCAGGCACATGCACATTTCCGTTCGTTGCACGATATTTGACGCTACATGAGCGAGATCCTACTGTATATTTCTTAATTTTTTGGAGATGCCTCAACGAGATTTAGACATGTACTTTTAAAATAATATCGCGCTGAGATATCTACGCGGACTCCTCTCTGAAGCGAAGCTATAACGAAGAGAAACGTGATCCAAGCTGTGAAGCAAAAGCGGAGACCGATCTCGCGCGTTTCGCTTAACAGATCAATAATTAAACGTACAAACTAATATTTTAAGATTAAAAGATTGTCTCGAAGAGACAATTCTTCTCAATTTCTCCGAGTACGCTAATCGAAAATCCGTTCCACCCTCGGTGAAAGAGCTATTTTCTCTCAGGTTTCCGTACATATACATATATTTCTCTCATATAATTATGCTTCTTTGCGAGAAAGAGAAAGAGAGAGAGAGAGAGAGAAGGATCACGAAATATACACAAATATCGAAATGAGCCTAAGTCTGTCATTATCGGTGACAAATGTGGCCTGGAAGAGCATTCAAAGTGCGCCATGCCTATATAGCTTGCAGGCTAATTGAAAAGACCTAATAATATCTTCGTGAACGAACATGCTAATCGCGAAAATTGATTGTCGTCGTCGCTGTGTATTGTCGAATGTGTATAATTCATGTGCTAAATAAAACGGAACATGATACATGTAAAGAGAAATCGAGCGCGATATGTCTCTCGCTCGTTTTAACGTCGAGCACGATTAAGATAATTGGCAATGAAATTTATTTATTACACTTTCAACTATCCTCCGATAAAAAAAAATTTATATATATAAATTTATTTCTTCTACCATATATATATATATATATATATATATATATATATATATATATAAATATTATAACAGAAAGTTAAGTCTGATCTTTAAACGAATAATAAGAGAATTACAAATAAGAAACTCTATATTCGACCAAAATTTACCATATCAATAATTTATAGGTTTCATTGTCGATTCTATTTCTCCTATGTTTAAATATCGAAAGTAAGCCTGCCGGTTGTTAAAGGATTTAATCGTATGTGTGTACGATCGTATACATCGTCACGTCTAAGTGTCTATGGTTTGTCAGCTAAAGTTGCATTGTCGTGACCCAATTATTGGAAAGAAAGAATTAAATGTTAATGAGAGCGTTAAGTATATATAAAGTAAAATATTATACATATTAAATAAGTATAATTATATATATGAAAAAAAAAATTATATATAAATGTAAAGAGAGAAAAATCTTTAAAAATCTAGAAGAAACGCTTCGCTACATGGAAGCGTAGTCCGAATCGTACGCTTAAAACTTATACATATATATTTAAACAGTATTTCTAATATTCTATATAAAGAAAACTATAGTAGAGTTAGAGAGGCATCTTATGCGGCTGTAAAAATGGATATCGATAATAAAAAAAAATTTGCTTTGACAAAGTTAGAGACAAACTTGCGATGGGAAATAAAAAAGCATGAATTTCTATAACGAGGATCAATCATAGCATATGGTGCTAATTTGCCTATAAAGATAATTTAGAATCGCACAGCGTTATGTTTGTATTATTTAAAGAAAAGATACGGTGCTTTAACGAATAAGAAATTGAGATTAGATAGTAAAAGAAAAATATGGCGCGATAAAATTGAAACGTCGAAATTAATTAAAAAAAAAAATTATCAGATTGTATCCAAAAAATTGCTCGCATATTTTCATCATTTATTACTGATTTCCGTTTTCCCAGTCGCACTATATTAATATACATTCTCGACAAAAATGTTCTTATATACATACATATATACATATATATGTTTACCGTCGTACAATCATCTTGGGTGTCTGCTGAAATGTACTTTCGATATGTATTCTATATTCTACATCACGTCGACGAAGAGTTCTTTATAAAGTATACTTACACAATGTTCTCGTTAAATAAGGAGCTCAATTTTTCAAGGCTTATGTCAAATTATATTTATACCGAATGAAAAAATTAACCCGACTTATTTGACGTATACGCTGAAAATTCAACTGTTCACTGATTAAAAACTGATGTCGCGACACATCGGTTGTTTTACAGAACCAGCGCGAGTTGTTATATTTTTTATGTGAATGAAAAGAGAAAACTCGTTCGTGGTTCTTCAATCAATAGACGTATCTATTGATGGACCTGAATTTGCCTTGCATTATACGGTATACCAAGAAGAGCCTCACTTAATATCTTAATTAACAAGAGATTAAAAAAATGAAAAGGTGACGTTTGTCCTGCCAATAATAAGGATAAGAAGGATCGTTTTATCTTACTTGTGTCGTGATTTTAAAGTAGGGCAAAAAGGATGTTCTTGCTGCGACGGGTTTTGAGGAATTTTTAAAAATAGGTCTCTCGTCTCCGTACACGTACACACCGCGAAGAGCAAGTAATGTATTCTAAATGTGATGTGTAATTAATATTTTCTTGTAATGTATTCTCGATCCAATCATAATTGCATCTAAAATAAAGTTATTTACATCAGAAATTCGATATCCGACACTTCTCACACATTTCCCATTTGCAATTTATAAAATATTCCATGTTCCCGAATTTTTTTTCCATACATTTTATTATGTTTTATACATTTGTATTATGAATCAAAATATATACATGTTTTATATACTGTACCATTGTGACCAACTTCTATACATCTTCAGCATTATTGTGTTTATGTACAAGTTATTGAAAAATAAAGCTGCATTCTCTTTCTTTCTATATGGCATTAATTATAATAAAAATTTTGAATTGTTTGCTGTCAATTTATCTGTTTCTATGATATCGACAAAATTTTTTGAACCCTTTTGCCGAACAGAAAGAGTTATGCTCGCGCCGCTTTCATGCCATTTTGCTTTTAGCAAGACGCAGCATCCTTTGCCTGTAAAAAAAAACATCAGGAAAATTGTACAATATTTGAACTAAGCTATATATATATATAAAGAAAATAGGTACCAAGTTGTCCGCGTTCGTGAGCTGCTGCTAATTGATTGACAACACGCCTTTCCACTTCGTATTTAATGGAACGAGCACCATAATGGACATCATATCCATCTGCTAATACCGATAAGATCTCTCTGTCCCACTTTAATTCGATCATGTGTCTTTCTTTTGCACGCGTGGCCCATGTTTCTAATTCCCGGGTGACTAATTTCATTAATTCTGCTCGAGAAAATGGTAAAAAGTATACTATTTCGTTTATTCTTCCCAGAAACTCATCTCTCCGAAAATGAGCTTTCAGTATCGGACGTACCTATCGTACGAGGCGATCTTATTATGCAACTTTGTAATCTATACTTCAATTAAATAATTTTTTTTGTTTTTATTTCTATTAAACATACCACTTGATCTTTAAAGTTACGAGATATTTCGATACGTTCCGGTTCTTGATCTTCATCAGAATTAATTAATCTATGATTTAATAATCTTTCGGCTTCCGCTCTGAGTTGCATTGCATGCTCTGCAATTTCTTCACTTCCTAAATTTGATGTCATGACAAAAATAGCATTCTTGCACTCAATTGTCTTTCCTTTACCATCAGTTAATCTCCCCTTAAAAGTAAAAAAATCAATGATTTATTTATAACAACATCATATAAGAATAGACAAATATGATTTAAGTAGTAAATAAATACTTCATCAAAGAGCTGTAGCAAAATAGTCAAAACGTCAGGATGAGCTTTGTCAACCTCATCAAATAGTACTACAGCAGAAGGATATTTTTTTAAAAGTTTTGTCAATTGTCCACCATCATCATGTCCTACATATCTATAATAATAAATTTAGTAATTATAATATTAAACGTAAATATAATATTCAAACTTACATATATGCTAGGAAAATGATTAAACTGAAACTAAGGTAGTATAATGAAAATAATGATAATATGAATTATACCCTGGTGGAGCTCCAATTAATTTTGCAACCTCATGTTTTTGCTGATATTCAGACATATCCAATCGAATAAAACTGTCTCGTTTATCTTTATGAATATAAGCAGCTAATTGTTTAGCTAATTCTGTCTTGCCAATACCTGACGAACCCAAGAAGAGAAATACCAATGGATGCTCTTCATCTATCCAGCCATTTTCTTTCCTCCTAATAGCTAATAATATTAAATAATATAATTTGTGATAAATATTTTGTTAATTTTACAATAAAAATGATGGAGTAATCTTACTAGATGCGACAATAGAAATTGGTCCTTCTTGTCCAACAATATGTTGTTTTAAACGTTGTTCCAATGGAAATCGACGACGTTCCTCTGCTTCCTAAGTTGGACATTCCCATGTAAATATATAAAATTGCAAATTATTTATTTTCATGTAATTTTACACACAAAAGTCTATAACTAAGGAACCATAATTTTATGATACATACCTTTTCTTTTACTATTTCATCATATTTAATAGCATGTTTGATGAGCATTTCTTTAATTTCTCCTTCTTTAGCATAATCAACCGCTCGATGTCCGGCTTCATTTTCTACGGTTGGGTTTGCTCCTTCATCTAATAATGTTTTCACACAAATTTTTGAATCGGCCAACACAGCATAATGCAATGCTGTAAAACCTTGAAATGTAGCACGATTATTCAGTCGATCAGAAAATTCTTCCTCTCTCTTCATGAGGACTGAAAATATCCAAAATAAAATCATTTATTAATATAAGTACATATATTGTACAAAAGATGTACACATTCTTGAATTTATAAACATTTAGAAAAAAATAAAATGTATGAAATATTATAAATACAGAATATAAATACTTGCCATCTAAAGAATGTAAGCCCTTCTCCATGGCAGTCCTATATACATTAACAAAATTATCTCCTGCATTTATATCAGCCCCATTATGTAACAGAATTTTAATGACTTCTACTTTTTGATTTATAGCAGCAGTATGCAATGCTGTCCAACCTAAGGAATGTCTGACATTTACATCAATACCATCTGCTATAGCCTGAAACATACAGTATTATTGATATCTTTTTACTTTTATAATAACTTTGCATCATATATATAATAAAATAACTAAGAAATAAAGAGAAAATTATGAATCACTCTATACAGTAACTTAAATATCTCTTAATCTAATTTTTACCAGAAAACTTACCTTTCTTAATTCAGAAATATTACCATATTGAACAGCTCGAAAGAATCTCTTTTCTGCAAAGAATCATATATGATTATACTCTTTATTCACATTAAAGTTACATATACTTTTTCCACATACATGATAATATGTATAACAAGACTATCTACCTGCTAAATTTGGAGCATCGCAAAGGGCCACTATAAATCCAAGGCCGCTTAAAAGCATTCCAAGGTGCTTGTAATTTCTTCTATACTTGTTATCATATCTTCTGTATTCTTCTTTCGCTGTCGTTGAAGGTTTCACGGGATAATCGGAAAATACCTTGTCCACCAATCTGTACAGCGGATAACAAATCCGCGGTGGCACTTGCGAGATATACCGAGTATAACCTCTCCGACACATGGCAGTGTTCAATAAATGACTGTATTTAAGGTGAAATTGACTGAAAACCCTCATCGGTGTCCTGGCGTTTATCATCGCGTAGCATAATTTCAATACGTATGGTCGTGACATTTCGATCTATCAATTCTTCGCCGGGTTTGTCATCAACTAATTTGAAAACATCACCTTGAGCGTCGACGCCAATCGATGTTGGATTAAAGATAGTTGCTATAACAACGCTTTATTTCGCGTCGTTTATTATGTTTACACGATCAACACAATACGGAATCAATCGATAATTTTTACAGTGTATCACGAATCATCTCTATAGCGACAAGTAATGATTCCGGCAGTCTTCTGAAAGCACAGGCGGATATTTCGTCAGAAAATCGATGACTAAAACAAATAATCTAGCTTCCATTTGTTCACAAATAATAAATAATGTTTTTCAACATATTATTAATATATTGAAAAAAACAAACTTTTATATACATTTTTTTATAACAAATATAAACGTACGCAAGATTTCTCCCTCTTTCGCTCTTTCTGTTATAATAAATTATATCATTTGGCAAAATCATTTGGCAAAATCAAGCTGATATTTTCCTTATTCTAGTGTTTATAAAATATACGTCAAAAACATATCTACCTGTGGAAAACTGAAAAATCCTCGTCCGCAAGATTCGACGCGCAACCGTTTGAAAAGACGATTCCGCAAAATGATTCCTCTCGATGTTTCGATGGCCGCCATCTTGCGCGACATCGAGGATTGCGAACTATCGCCGCCCCGCGTTTAAATTCAAATAATCGGGCCTCGGATCGCGTCACGAGTGGAAATAGTTTCGTAATTTGTCAAGGCTTATCTCCCGTGCCGGTCTCGTCGTAAATTACTCGCGGCGAGGTGCGCGAGGTCCGGCCGCGGCCCACGGGGTCGATTTCTCGGAGGAAACGTCATGCCCGGCGATCCCGCGGAACCGGCCAATCTCCGCGGGTTTCCAGAATATTCCAGACGGCGCGGCGCACCAATCGCCGCGCCGCCGCGCGCCGTCATGATTGGCCAGTTTTGAAGCGGACTCGGCACGGGTCGGTACTCGTGCGGCCAGCACTTCCTAATCGTCGAGCATCGGGCATCGAGCGCGCGTGAGAGAGCGTGTATCGTGGATCGTGCATACACACATCGGGGCCTCGCTTCTCGTGTCGTCGCGAGACGTCCACCAATTGCGAACCCAGGTCCCGAGAGACGATCTTCCTCGACTTGGAGCCACCAAGCTACCGGGAGCTCTCTCTCTCTCTCTCACTCCCCCCCTCTAGAGTGTCGCGGAGCAACTGTGTCGATCTCCCCGAGGCTTCCCAACAGTCATGGCTGCGATGTCCGTGATCGGGATCGACTTCGGCAACGAGAGCTGTTACGTGGCCGTGGCACGCGCCGGTGGCATCGAGACTATAGCCAACGATTACAGTCTTCGGAGCACGCCGTGAGTCAGTCGCGATTACCCTCCTCCTCCTCCTCCCTTCCGACGCCCCTAGTCGTCCCAGTCACGCTCTTGCCAAGGATATTGCCGGTATTGCCCCGCCGGTCTCGTCGTCGCGACCTTGACTGCTGCGATTTTTCTACGTCGACTTGAGAAACGAGAAGATTTCACGAGGATTTTTCTCTTCTCCTCTTTTTCCTCTCTTCCCTCCCTCTCTCTCTCTCTCTCTCTCTCTCTCTCTCGACGTGTAATTTAGAAAAAGAATTTAGCCTCTGCTCCTGTACCGCATGTGTCATTTACATTGTTCGACTCTGATTTGCGGTTTTACACGCTACATACCGGATGTGAGAAAACCTTTGTAATGTCGGGAATCACGTTTTCCACGCGGCAAAAAAACACGTCCCGGTATCGAGTTTCGGATCCATGTGCATGAGGCACTCGATGTGATCTCACGTGCATCGGAATTCGAACCTCGAAATTACGCTCGTCTCCTGTGACTCCGCGTCATGAGAGATTCCGAGAAATGTTGTAGTGGAAAATAACAGAGTAATGTAATAGTCTACACATTTTTAAGCGGATAACACGCACGCGGATTATCGTCCTCTAGAATCGTCGATCGCATTACCATTTACAGGCATCTCATTACGAGAGTATACTACAGGCTGTTACACGCGTGTGTGCGTGCGCGTTCACGTGTTCAGAGCATCCCAAAAAGTCTCTTGCTTCCCTCGCGCGCGCGTTTCTTTGCGTTTCTTCGGGAGTTGTCAGTGCGCTTATATTTATCTTTAGTCAGCCGCTGACGACCTAATAATTGCTTCTAATTAAGGATTAATTGCATTACACAGAGAGAAAGAGAGGAAGAGAGAATATATGTATCGTAAAAAATAATTTTTTCAAATTCTAAAATGTTTAATCACTCGCGAATACCTCGCCTTACTTTCTTTTATATTTATATCTGCTTCCTGTATATGCAATGTACAATTACATTGTATATATATATACATATATATATGTATATTATAATGCATGTTACGTTTCATGTATATATCGCAGGATATTGCAATATAACTTGAAATATTTTTTATTTTATACAAGAGGATTGTACCGATAATGTGAATAAGATAGGAGATCAAAGCATTGGCAGTATTAATCTTTTCAATGTTCTATTGTGTGTACATATATCCTTCAATGTTTATATATATATATATATATATATATATATATACACACATATATAAATGACTAGAGATTTATACTAACTTGTATCATAAATTAGATAAGTAATTGCTATATATTTATCTACTCAAACATTAACTAGGCCAAGGAAATTTTACAAAAAACATGCATACATGTACACACATACGCATATACAAATATATATGTGTATATATACATATGTATATACATATAACCTGTATAACTCTGAAGTGATTACATTATATAATGTGAAATAAATCCGAGAAATACAATAGTTACATAAGTTGATAATATATATATATATATATATATATATATATATATATATATATATATACATTATTACATGACTAAATATCATTAAAGTAAAAAATAATGTTGCGATTCTTAGATCATGCGTGGCATTCAGTGGAAAAAATCGAATACTTGGAGTAGCAGCCAAGAATCAAATGGTAACCAATGTGAAGAATACCATCCATGGTTTCAAAAGACTGTTAGGTAGAAAATACAACGACCCCCAAGTTCAATCTGATCTAATGTTCCTTCCCTACAAAGTAACTCAGCAGGCTGATGGAAGCAGTGGCATACATGTAAATATCATGTTGAACATTAAAGAAAATAATCTTATATGTTCCTATTAGTTTGATACTGTTTATAAAGATTACATATGTTTTTAAATTTTAATGAAAAATATGAAAGAGTGAAATTATTTATTATATAGGTTTCATTTATTCTTTTACATATAAATTGCATTCATATGGAAAAAAAGAAATTCTTACAACAGAAATGTGTTTAATTAATATTCTTATAATTATAATTTTTTTAGTTAATAATTTTCATAATTATAATTTCTTTCATATAATTCAATGATCAAGATACAAGAGTAATCTAGGCAGTTTGCCAAGACTATCATTTCTGGAAAGACTCATATCTTATTTATATCTTTTTAGGATGATTCATATACATTAATATCACTCATTTATATTACTAGCAATTAAATTAAATATGCATTATCAAAGAGCATAAATTAAATTTAAGTATATGTCAATTTTTATATTCTATTAAAAATTATTTTAATATCTTCATCTTTTTCAGGTACAGTACTTGGACGAAGAGCACATTTTTTCACCAGAACAAATTACTGCTATGCTTTTTACAAAGTTGAAAGATATTTCTGAGACAGCTCTACAAACTGCTGTTAATGATTGTGTCATATCAGTTCCTTCATATTTTACTCAAGCTGAACGTCAAGCTCTACTTGATGCTGCTAGGATTGCAGGACTTAATGTTCTAAGATTATTTAATGAGACTACTGCTACTGCTCTTTGTTACGGTATTTATAAGCAGGATTTGCCAGCAACAGATGGGCCTCCCAGAAATGTCGTTTTTCTAGATTGCGGCAATGCTAGCTTGCAAGTGAGCGTTTGTGCCTTTCACAAAGGCAAACTTAAGGTCAGTATATTACATAATTTTTTATTATAAATCATTATTCTGCATGTTAACATCCTAAAAAAACTCGTTTATCATTTTTTGGTTTCTTCGTTAAAGATGTTGGCAAGTGCTGCTGATTCTCAATGGGGTGGAAGAAATATCGATGTAATGCTGGCAGAACACTTTTGTAGGGAATTTAAAACGCGATACAACATTGACGCGCATACTAATCCGCGAGCGTACTTAAGATTAGTGGCGGAAGCCGAGAAACTGAAGAAACAAATGTCGGCTAATTCGACTAATCTTCCCCTGAATATCGAATGCTTTATGGAAGAGAAGGACGTACATGCCCAAATGAATCGTAATGAAATGGAAGCGCTGTGCGCTCATTTATTTGAACGCGTTGAGAGAGCTTTGAGGCAATGCCTATCAGATTCGAGTAAGTTTTGGCGTAAATAGTGGAAAATTTATTTTAAATGCGATTTAAATGTAATGTCTAGTCACATTGATCTTGTGTATTAATGAGAAAATGCTTATTATAGAATTGAAGCTGGAAGAAATTCATTCGGTTGAGATAGTGGGAGGATCGAGTCGAATTCCTGCTATCAAACGTATAGTAGAAGAAGTCTTTGGTCGACCGATATCGACAACTCTAAATCAAGACGAAGCTGTCGCTCGTGGTTGCGCATTGCAATGCGCTATGCTCAGTCCTGCCGTGCGCGTTCGTGAATTTTCAGTTACAGATATACAACCGTATCCTTTGAAACTAACATGGGATGCTACTCAAGGCGAAGAAGGGTATGTATCGCAATTTCTATTATCCTATATTATCATGAATGAAAATCGACTGTTCTTCCAACTTTGCTTAATATTTCAGCGAAATGGAAGTGTTTGGGTATAATCATCCTATACCATTCTCAAAGATGTTGACGTTCTACCGTTCGAATCCATTTACGCTTTCTGCTAGTTACAGTAAACTACCTCCATGTTATCCTCAAACATACATTGGTATGCAAATATTTTTCTTATAAAATTATTTTTATTTATTTTATTCTGAAATAATTATAATAAAATTAAATTTTTATTTTTAAATTAAATTAAAATTAAATATTTTATTCTAAAATTATTTTTATTTATTCTGAAATAATTTTATCTATAAAAGTTAAAAAAAATGATGAAAAATATGTTGACGTATATTTTAAATAATATTATATATTATTTAAAATAGTTTAATTTATACTCGTCTCATTTATAGGAACATTCACAATAAAAAATGTAAAAGCCACGCCAGAAGGAGAATCGGCGAAAGTTAAGGTGAAGGTAAGAGTGAATTTAAACGGCATTTTGACTATCGCGTCGGCATCACTTATCGAAAAACGTGAACCGACTCAACAAGAGAAAGAAGAAGAAGAGGCACAACAGCAGCAACAACGGAATAACATGGATGTTGATTCACATTCGGCGGATAAAAAAGATAAATCTGATCAAGAAGCGCAAGCCAATGAACCTCCAGCTCCGGAGGTTTGTAATTTTATTATATTTTTAAAAATTGAACATAGCGATAAAGGGCTAATGATAGTATTCCATAATATCATTCGACTCATTAAAAAATATTACATCACAATATACAGAGTATGCAAAATTTGGAATGAAATTCTATGCTGATGCGCAATCTTACGCATCATTAAAGCATTCAGGTGCATGATTATGTGAGTTTATTGTGGTTTAGGTGAGCATGGATAAGACACGACGGAACTCAGATGCTGATGATGGTGGAAAAAGTGCTAGGGGTTCTGCCCCTTCCTACTCCTCCAGGATTCTCTGTTGGTTCAGCTCGGTACGGGGCATACTATCTCTACTCTTGGACCCATACGCATATGTTTATAGGCATATGTGTACTAAATTTTAAGCTTAATTGTTGGCATTGTTATGATAGTATTATTGTGAGCATTCCTTCCTAAATTAGGGCCGAATAATATAGGTATTCTTTGCTTTTTATCACGCTCGTCTTGTCACTCACTTTGACAATAGAACTCAATCTGATGCAGTCACCTCATGTTAACAATGAATGCATAGTAATCGTAATCGCTTTATATAACGCAAATGATACACTTGTCAATTGAATACACCAAATGCATCTTTATATATTTTGTTCCTCTAGCGATTAACTTGAACAACATTCTTCTCTCCTCTTTATAAAGCAGTTGTGAGAGAAATTTATTCTTTTGTGCCCTATGCAAAGCAACATGTCTTTCAATATTATGCCTTTTCTTCATTTATGATTCAATTGTTCTTAGAATTAGTTACAGTTTAGAATTTAGAAGCTTGTAATTTATTTTTGTGCACATCACTTTTTATTGAAATATGAATAGTGCTAGCAGCATTTATATATTGTATTTAGTCCACAGTTAGGTCTTTATAAACTATTATGATTCTTCAGTTTTACTTACCAGGATGCATGACATTTGATTTAGCCATAGAATTTCAAACCCTGTGTCGATTTCTTCTGCAAACTCAGCTATCCAGTGGCATAAGAATTTAGAAAAAAATTAAGCTTGTGCTCTTTCATGAAATATAAAGTAACATTGCAATAGTTCATGATATTATTTAATTCTAACAATCGTTTTGCTAATGCATATGGGTCCAAGAACAGCTGTGTCACGCCGTGCTGTCTGTCTTGCTCTGCTATTCTATATATACTAGGTCGCAGAAGGAAAAGAGACAGTGAGATAACCTGATAAAAGCATTAGTATACACACCATATGAATATTCGTAAATTGTAAAGGCAGGCAACGCTGATCAGTTTTCCATTCGTATAGAAAAATGTATAACTATTTATTTTTACTTATTTTCATTATATTATTACATGTAAAAAGAAATATTAAATTACAAAAAGATTTATTTTACACTATTATTCTCTCTTTTGAAACGAGATACTATACGAATTCAAAACTGTGCACACACCTAAAAGTGTACCCCCTTATTCTTGCCTCATCTTTGTCATCACCTGAATTCCAGTTTAGTTATTTCATTCTCATATAAATTTGGTTCACTTGATTTAACATTCTTACATTAAATATAAATTTGAAAATGTTATAAAATTATGATAAAAACAAAAAAAGCGTTTCAAGAAAGTATTGATAAATGCTCATAAATAAAATACTCATAAAGATAAAATCTTTTAATCAAATATATACGCATAAAAGTATATATTTTATACATTAAACTTTGAATAAATTCTTAAATTGATTTTAAATGAATAATTGAATAAACTTTCTTGTAAACGAACTTTTCATTATAGGTTTGTGCGTAAAAACGCAAATGAATGCACAAAGAAAAAAATGTGTTAAATTTTTGATAAATTTTTTATGTTTTAGGGAGATGATAAAGGCGATGATAAAGGCAAGAAAAAAGTTCCAATTCGTACAATTGACTTGCCTATTGAAGCTAACGTTTGCGGATTATCTACACGAGATCTCGATGCTGCAATAGAAAAAGAGGTGTGTAGCATTCAGTGTATATTGCTCGGACGTTATATAACTTACCTTGTATAAATATCAACTTATCTTCAATTATAGCGGAAAAGCTTATCTGTATAACATCGAATCATTATGTAATTTCATGCATTTTGTTCGTGAACAGGGCAAAATGATTGCTGAGGATAAACAGGAAAAAGAACGAGTTGACGCGCGTAATGCTTTAGAGGAATACGTTTACGATTTACGTGCTAAATTGTCCGAAGAAAACCAATTAGCTACATTCGTCACGGAAGCAGATAAAGAAACATTGTATCGTACATTAGATGATACTGAAAATTGGTTGTATGAAGAAGGAGAAGACTGCCAACGACAGATTTATTCCGAGCGATTAACGCGCTTAAAAGTATGTTATTTGATCAGAAAGAGGGAGAAAACGTTGCTAATATGATGATTTATATATTTTATAAAAAAAAGTTTCTCCTCCTTTTATGTTTAAAAAAAAACTCTTTTATTTTTACAAATCAGAATTTTTTAAAAATAAACAATTTTCTTTTTATTAGTCTCAAGGGGAACCAATAAAAGAAAGGAGATTAGAATTTGAAGGAAGATCTCACGTGTTAGAAGAATTAGCAGTAGGATTACAACTAGCTAAAAAAGGCCTTGATCAGATAAAAGCATCAATTGGCAAAGATGATAAATATTCTCATATAACTGAGGAAGAAATAAAAACACTTGAGAAAACTATACAAGAGAAATGGACGTGGTTGGAGGAAAAACGTATGTTGCTTGCGAGTATACTTCGTACGCAACAACCGCCAGTCACCGTGGCGCAAATCCGTGCCGAGAAATTAGTACGTAACAAATGTCGATTCGTAATCGCATAGACATTCTTCTGCAATATAATATCAATATATTAATTTTTTTCGTCATTTGTTTATAGTCATTGGACAGCGTGGTATTACCTATTCTCAACAAGCCTAAACCTAAGGTAGAACCGCCAAAAGAGGAAAAGCCGAAAGACAAATCGGCTGATGAACAAAAAAATAATCAAAATCAAAATGCCCAAGATAACAATCACAATCAGCCCAATCAACAACAAGGAGAAGAAGAAAAAATGGATGTTGAGTAACGGTCACCGCAACTTATGTGTTTTTAATAATATATTAAATCTAATCTATAATTGAAATAGAGCGAATATTTCATATTTGGATAAAACATGTTTATCATGTTTCAAAAGCGCCTGACATACCATAGTCGGATTGCACACATAATTGTCTTTTTTCTCCCTCTTTTTTTTCTTCCTCCCTCTCTGTAACATTTATTAATCAAATGAACTGAGCTATTTAATGACACATATTACCGTAACGAGCATAAGAATAAGCGTATTGAAAAAGAAAAGAATTTGGATTTATGAAAGAAAATGTGCATTGCAACAATAAATGTTCTTTTATTTGAAAAGAGTATAATTTGCTGTCCAAACAAAGAAGAAAAAACATAAACGTCCTAAAAAAACAAAATAATAAAATTTTCTTACATTAAAAAAAAATTCGTTTAACTTTTCAGTACGCTTCTAAATGCATAAATAAAACTGCTTTTGAGTGTATATTTGAAAAGAAAACTTCTCGGAACTATTGCCAGTAAAATAAATTATAAAAAATTATATGTTGCGCCATTTTTAACATATAGGATGCGTGCTAGTTAGATCTAATTGACCAAATTAAATTGTGAACTAGGTAATGTTGCTGTCGAATCTTTTGTATTTAATAATATACAATTATTCATTCCAACATTTTCTCATACAACTGACAGCAGACTCTATCAAGTTTTCTTGTTGCATTTATAATACTTTCTTGAAATAATATACACATATTTACTTGAAATAAATTAATATTTCACTAATTGAAATTGGAAAAGTCTGCTTTAATTTGGAATAAGCATAACAAAGATATACATGAATTCACCGTAATTTTTTTTCTTTCTCTATTTTTTCTCGAATCATTGTTTTTAATGCAAAATTACTTCTAAGCAAAAACCGATAATTCGGTTAGATATATCATTGTACATAACTTGTAGGCATCTACACAATAACATAATATATTTCTTTATCATTATATTTATATTGCAATATTATAGCGACTTCTGATTGTAAGCACATTGTTCTCAAAATATTGTCTTTTAATATCAAAGCTTAAATTAAACTTGGCCAGAGTCAGCCCTGTCAGTCGAATGATCAGGTAAGACTTTAAATCGACTTGTTTAACAGCTAACAGGGATAATTGCTTATTCAATAGAATGAAAAATCGTGCTTACAATTGGAAGCCATTGTATCTTACAGCATATAGAAATTATAGCGAAAATTTAGTTGTTCCTACAATACACAAAACAGACGGAAATTCATATTTCACTCTCGCGCCTAACTTTGTTCCCATACCGCTTTTAGCAATTAAGAGTCGCAAATTATTACGCGTGTGTAATATAATTAGTATTAGCAAGATGTAAAAAATGTGAGTGTTAAAAAATACGTTGTTTCTTCAAATGATAAAATTTTCCACCACATACAACAAACTTTTTCTTTTTTTTATACATTTTACACATTATTAAATTATTTTTGTGATTCTTATATGTTAAAATAAATTTGATGTAGAGATCATTATGTTTATTTTTAAGAGCTATATCTGGTGAGGTAATCTGATGTCCAAAATTTCGTTATTATAATCCAAAAGTTGTCAAATATTAATCAATGAATTTCATTTATCGAATATTCAATTATTCAAGGAAATGAATATGTTAATTCATATTTCCTATAATGTGTATAATATATACACATTATATAAAAAAAGTTTATACTTTCTTTATCTTATTTGCAATTATGTTAAATAAAAACGGAATCAAATAAATTTGTTAATAACATAATGTTTTTTTTCTTTTTGCGATATTACGGTTATCGTCTTAATAATTGTGTCAATTATATAGTCAATATTTATTATTTCATATCAATAAATTATAACGCATTTGTATCATATTGAGATGCAATAATGTCTTGGACATTTCAAAATATTTATAAATTTATAAATTCTGAATATATAATGTAACATAAATATGCATCTCTGATTCCTCACTATACAAAGGAAAAGATATAGGCATATTTTGCTCTAATTTAAATTTATAAAAAAAAAAATTGAAAAATTGTTAAATTTTATGTATTTATGCCACAATTATATTTCATAAAGAGAACGAAATTGCATAAATAAATGTATAATAATTTATACTTTACCAACAAAAAATATCAAATCCATATAGTAATATTGCATTTTTGTTGCCATATATGGAAATATACACACATGGTGATATTTTAACAATGGCATGAACATCAAACAGTGTACTAGAAATACATATACTACTAACACTGTGTAATGTTCAAAAGAATTTTAGAATATAAATTTCTTTGTAGAAATTTCGTTTTTATATAAGTTTGTACATTATATATATTAGCATATTCTTTTTTAAATTTTGGTAAATTAAATAGCAATTATTGATAATTTAGGTGTAACAAGAGTGAGGAAAACCTATATTAACAGAAGATGTAATATCAACACATCAAAGTTTCACTTTAATGTTATCCAAAACAAATGTCTTGATTGTGATTATGTCATAAGTGTATGGTCACCAAGGTGCACTTAATAATAAAGAATTAATCTATCTTAACTGCTGATGTTTTTGATCGATCATCAAAATATGCTTTGTATATAAATGCTCCCAAGGCAATATGTAATACTATTATCGCAACACCAGCCGAATATACATTACTTGGCACATTGTTGAGACCCAATATACCTAAACATAAATTGTAGAAATTTTGTTAGTTAATTCATTGAGAAAAACTTTCAAAACATAAAATTTTACATATATAAAAGATAAATAAAAAAATTATCTTTCATTTAATTGTATGTTTTCGTCTTATTTGATCAGATTGTTATAATCTTGTTACGTATGAGTATTTTGTACCATCAAAGAGGAAAATCTTGCTTGTAAAGAATGATATCACGGGTAAAGCGAGTATTATCACACTGTGATATAAAACTGTTTTGAATGCTTGTAGCTCTGTCACTTCCTAGAATAAAAAAGCAAAAAAAGTCAATACATTTACAACAATACAATGTAAATAAATATATATAGAGATTTATTATTATTATTAATAATAAGCTCTTACCTTTGTATTTACCATGATTGTGTCTACTGAATTAGAGTTGCGTGTTTAAAAAGATTGATAACCGACATAAAAGTCAAATATTTTTGTTCACAAGTAGTAAAATTTGCTAAAATGAAAATTTTAATACAGATTTATTACAGACTTATTCTTTATATCACTTGTCGGTCACGTGCATCTGCAACCTGCAGTTTTAATTTAACAACTCTTCTTCTGTCGCTTTACATAAATCTTTACAATTCATAAATTTTTAAATAAATAAATTTTTTATCATCTTTTTAATGCGTTTTAAGTTTCTTCGATAACATATACATGTATATTAACGATAGGCAAAGTTATAACTTTTTCAGGTTAAATTTTCAGAAAGTGAATTGGATTGCACTTTCTACACTCGAATTTTTACTCTCTCTCTCTCTTTAATGTCGGAAAATATGTTTATCTCTTTCTGAATCATTGAGCTCTATAGTAGAGAAAGATATACACATTGGATCACTTTGTCGAGATCGCTGATTGGTCGACATTATTTGATCGAAAACATTAATTTTATAATTGTACATACATATTTCATAATTATAATTATATATTTTAAAAATGGAAAATTCATAAACATTTCAATTTCATTGTGTGAATTCATAAATAAACTCAAAATAGGAAGGTTTACTTCAATGTACCATCGAGGTAACGATACCTCCGTTGGTAAGTATAGCAGTTTCATTATGCTTCACTATGCTTCCACTAGGGTTACGTGTCCGGTTTCGTCGTCTCTTTTTCATATCTGCAAATTATACGAACCTTGCTCTAATCAGTCTTTATTTATATATGTACATTACGATTGTATGCATGTGTAGAATCCTGTGCGCGGCTATTCTCCGACAGCTGATTCACTCGATTGTTTACCGGAAAAAAACATGAACGATTGTTTGCAATAACAGTGGGACGATACTTTGCTCATCGGTGAAAATTACGCTAGAGATTCTGTTCAAATATGGGATGCTGCTACAGTTTCTGTAAAGAGGACAACGGTCCCCAGGTAAAATCGAATGATAGAAAATGTCACGTTTGTTTCGATACTTCTCTGTTGTCTTATCACTGACATTATATGCGTAGTTATTCGCTAAATTATCGCATAATAACGCCTACTCGACGACGAGTAATTACGCGTAATATACACTATGCATGTTTTCACTATGGATATTTTGAAATAATGATAAATAAGATAACAGCAGAAAAAAGCGATAATAGTATAGAAGTAAGAGATAAAAATACGTAATTTCTCCGGCATCCTCCGAGTATCTGTCACTGTATTTTTTATCACAGAGTGGAGAAGCGAACGAAAGAACGCATCTATTAGTAGATCCTGTCAGCAATAATACAAACATACCAAGAGTAAATAGGTGAGTTTATTTTCTCGTTGTATTTATCTCAGTACAGACAATTATTTTGGATATTTGGTTCTAGAGACCTTGAACTTTTACGTAAGATTGAATCATGCTTTTTATTTTTTTTTTCTTCCAGTGATGATTATGTTAATCAATACGCAAGCTCCGTGCCTAAGAAGACAGATGAACAGAGTGCATTAAATAGAATTTTACATGAAACTGCAGCGTGAGTGGATTTTATTTTACTACATCTGACGTAGACTAACTTTAATTTATAACATATTTTTATTTCTATTCTTAGTTTTGTTGATCAATTTTTCCTTTTAATTATTTTTTTTCTCATTTTTAATGTTAATATCGCCATGTGTTTTGTAGAATAAAATAAAGTTGAGTTTTATTTGAAAAGTTGTGATATATTTTATCATTATCTTTTTTCTTATAGCAATGTTATAGATGTGGGTGCATTAGACACACATAATTTAGAGCAGCACGAATACATGGATAGATCTCGTGCATATTCAAGAAGAATAGAATCAGGTAGAATTAAACTTCCTGAAACTGCATCTTGCCTACTTAAAGATATACCTGCTCCGGAACGAATATTAGCAGCTGATCCACTTGCTGTGGAAGATCAAGAATTGGTGAGGAATTAACTTTCAACTTTTTTTTATTACATTTGCTGTTACATTGGCATATTTAATATAATGTATTGAATATATAGATTACAGAGATGCTCATCAAGGCTGTGACAGCATTAAGCGATGTAAAAGTCGAACACAAGGAAGATTTGGTTGTTCCATTTCTGTCGTGATCGTTAAGTGTTTCCCCAGCTAATTTATAATCTCATCCCATTTGATTGGAATTTTGACATTATTATTCGGCATCGAAAGAACGTATATTTATCTCAAATAAATCGACCTAAACTCGGATTAATTCTAGCTGTCGTTAAAACAAAGCATTGATTTTAATAGGTAAGATGTATTATAAAAAATGTTACATACTATTATTGTTTCATTAATAATGGCTTTATATTTATCGAATAGATACGTGCTTTTCTCTTTTACTCTTAAGATTTAAAATAGTACGATGTGCATGAATTTTTCGCACATTTTGTCTATATGAAATTTTTATTGTAAAAAATTTATTGTAATATTCTTTATCGATATGTATACATACAGATATACAAACGTAAAAAAAATGCTATTTTGTTATTGTTCAATAAATTTAATCGAGTCCTATTATAAGAATACACAACTGGCTACATTAAGTATTTGCACGACGCAATTTATTTATCTGTATAAATAGTAAATTCTGATTCTATCCTTAGATCCTTAAAGCATGTGTAATGATTTTCAGATCAGTACATTTTTGTACATTTTTCTTTGTACATTTTTCATCTTTTGAAAGTGTCGACCAACGTTATACAAAGTACAAAGTTCTCTTTGCTTCTATGATATTTTACAAAGGATAATCACATTGTATCGACTTTTTGTCTCTTATAATACAATATCAAAATTCACAAACCGACTTAATGGACGCGCGAATTTCGAATTGCGCGCCCCGAGGGTGGGGGTTGAGACGCGTCCGTCGATTGGTCGATCGCGGAGAGACGCAGAGGGGCATCGACCGGTCTCGGCGTCGGCCTGCTATTCGAGTAGCAGTTCGTCACGTTGCCACCAATACACAAGAGCCGCGGAACGTGCTATCGCCGACCATTGGTCCTCAATTCCTCGACCAATCATTGGGAAAGTGCCCACGAAAATATCCAATGTAAGTTCACAAATTATCAAACATCAGCCCGATACGCGGCCGCGCGCCCACGTCCGTGATTAACCCTGATTTCGCGGTCGCGTCCGCGTCCTTGGCCCGGGAGCCAGCTCCCGCGTTCCCGACGCCGAAAAAGTCGTCACCACGCACGGCCATGTTTGTCGAGGCGATAGCGTGTTCCTTTCCGCGCGCGGATGCTCACGTCGCATCCGATGGCGGTCGCGCGATTCCCTGATCGACACCTCATCAAGCGATCAAGCTACGTCGCGCCTCTCCGCGAGGGGAGGAGGGTACAGCTGGAAACGCATACGTCGCCGAGCGCACGTGTGGGATCCCCGCTGCTGTTGCGTTCTTCGCCTTCACGCGTCGCCGATGCCCGATACGGTCGGCTCGTTCGCTCGCGAGATGCGGCCTCGATATCGGCCGTATCCCACGCGCGATCGCACGTGGACCGCGCGATCGCACGTGGACCCCGCGAAACGCGACGATCGAGTCCGCGGCTCGCGCTGACTCTTCGCCGTCGAGTTTCGCGGCTCCCACGAGTCGCGTTTGAGCCTCAATTATTCCACGAATTTCCTGCATTGTTAACGAAACGATTTCGATAACACGATTTCGATATGGCGATACGATATCACCGGTATGTGTACATACGCATATACATATCATGAGAAAATCGTGTTGCATGTAGCGTAAAAAGATACAAATGCATAGAATTTGATTGTATCTTTTTCCATAGCACTATATTTGATTGAAATAATGATTTATTTTGATTATTACAGTAAGAATTTATCATGGAGCAACTCAGCGAAGGACAAGCAGTTGTTGTTGGCGGAGCTGGGGGAACTGTACAAGTCGTTCAGATGGGCCAAGGTGGACAGACTATGATGCTTCCGCAGGCTATACAGGTAGCGGCACCAAACGGACAGATTCAAGTAGTTCCCGTCTCTAGTCTGACTAATACGGGTCAGCAAATAGTTATTCAACAGCCACAGACACCACAGATTATTCAAACTCCCGATGGACAGACTTATATTTATCAACCAGTACAATTAGAAGGTCAAGTTCAACAACCACAACCTACAGGTACGTGTAAATATATCTATTCTCTCGGTGTTGCGTTTTTATATAATTCTTTTCTTAAACATTTTTGAATTTCAGTAATAAATCTCAATGGCAATCTCATGCAAATTGCTGGCACAACGTCACAAGCTACAACTACCGCAGCTACCACTACTCCAGTACAACCTTTGGGTAGTCCTACATCGACGATGTCACAAACCGGAAATGTTGTTATGGTAATTATCGCTGAAAAAGTTTTTTGTTTCATCTTTGTGCATATATTTGACAATAGTAATGATTATAGAGCAATGCTAACTATACGTATAAATATCTATATTCTGATTATTATATATATATTTTTCTCAATTAAAGAAATTATTGTTTTCACCTTGCAATAATTAATTAATGATATATAACTTATGAAACTAGATGGTACAACCAAGCAATAATGGACAAACACAAACGTTTCAAAGAGTAGCATTGCCTCATGCAGAACTTCTTGAGGAAGAGCCACTGTATGTGAATGCAAAACAATACAGACGGATATTAAAGCGTCGTCAAGCGCGTGCTAAATTAGAAGCTGAAGGAAAGATACCTAAGGAAAGGCCGGTATGTATTCTCGAATTTTTCTAAAATATTTCTTCAATATGTAAATAAAATTTACACATATATGTTTGAATACTGGTTTTGTAAGGAAAAAATTTCCATTCAATGTATCTATATCATATTAGATTAGATATGATTTGTTATAAATTTGCCCTATAATTGAATTGCAAAATTCTTAAATAAAGAAAAATGACATACAATTGAATTTTTCAGAAATATCTCCACGAATCTCGTCATCGACATGCGATGAACAGAATTCGTGGCGAAGGCGGCCGTTTCCATTCTGGTCAAGTGAAAAAGCGGAAGTAAGTGTTACTTTGTTTTCCTAATGTAAATTTTCTATTGTAAGAAAAAAAAAATAAATAAAGAAGTTCAGTGTGGTTCATTTTGGTAATTTTACGCATATAAGAGTGTAATGGTTCCAGTAGAGGAAATGTAAACTCCACGATTACTCAGCACATCACAACTTCAACCAGCACCGATAGCGTTCATACTGTAGCAATAGCAGCCGCAAATGTAGGTGTACAATATCACGACACAGACAATATGGCATCCACAATTGTACTTGAAGTAAGATAACGCTTACTATTTTAATCAGTAACGTTTGCGATTTCATAACGATGCAAGTTAAATTTGTCGTTTCTAATTATTTGTTGCAGAAACCAAATATTCCTCTGCAAGACATGATCTCTGATGACGACATTGTTACTTCAAACAATCATTTGATATAGATAATAAAATAAATTGGATCAAAAGAAAAATAAGCATAACAGGTTAGATTATGTGTCGATTATATTGAACATTACATTTGCATTTTGTAAATATTTTCATCTCTAGGTGCAATGTATAATACTGTCTTATACTGTGTAATTTTTTCAAAAAGCCATGATTTTTACATAATTGTAGATATCATGAAATTGTATATAAAGTTCCATACAGATATATTTCTTCTTTTTTTTCTGTTATTATATCAAATTTGGTTCATAATTAATGATTAAAAATTTTGCTAAACTTAAGTTAAGCTTAAGTTTAAAAAAAATAGATTAAAAATTTGATTAAATGCTTCTCAGTCAATTTTCAGTGTGCTAAATTACAAAATAATTATCTCTTGCGCATTTCTGTTAAAATTTTTTAATTGATTTTGAAGAAGTTCTATCTGTCTTTTTCCGTAAAATTTATACATTGTTTGTCCCAAGATATTTACATCTACATAAGTATCTACAATACATCTCTTGTACTATTTATATTTTTATAATAAGTATATAGTAGTTAAAAAGAAGCATTCGTGACAACTTAGCAAAAAATCACACATTATTTTATTAAATTACATATTATTTTATTAAATTATCTTGCAAATGCTTCAAATATATATATATATATATATATATATATATATATATATATATTCTTAATTCGAAAAAATATAAATTTTACAAATGTATATATGATCGCATGTGGACAGAGATCTTCTTTCAACCATAAAATATATTTTGTCAAGTTCAATAAGATTTAGATATAGTTAATATCTAATTTAGTATATAGCAATATTGTAAAGTTAGAGAGAGATTGAATCAAATTGTATATATTATGTGCTATATTTTTCAGATTAGATTAAAGTACTAATTAAGTTAAGAATTTTTATTGAAAAATATAAGAAATATAAGTATAATGCCGTGAGTTTAGATATAAGTCTCTATTGCAAATATACAATATTTAATTACATTTTATTTGATTGCGTCTATATATCATTATTGATACTCGGTGAAAATCAGTAAACTCGTACAACTGAACCAATATGAAGAACTATTCAACAACTAATATATCCAGACACTACAATGGTAGGAAGAATATCGAAATTTCAGATAATGAAGATGATATACATCCAAACATCGACACCCTATCCTTATTCAGATGGCGTTATCAAGAACGAATTGAGAGAATGGAAGAACGTAAGAAAGAGTAGGAAGAACAAAGAAACATTGCAGACATTAAAGGATATAACAAAAATTAGCTATATTAGAAAGTAAATAGAAAGATTCAGCTGATTTAACTACGTAAAAAAATTTTTCAACATCTTGAGGAGGAAAAATTAAAGAGAAGAGGAGGAGGAAATAAAAGAGAAAGAGAAATTGACTAAAACTGTGATAAATATAAAAAGCCTCCTAAGAAGCAAATACTGGTTCATCCGAGGAAAAACGAATGAAGCAATTTGTTAAAGAGAATGAGAAAAAATTAAAAGAAATTGACATGCTGAAAAAATGTGATGACAGTAAGAAATTCTTACAAGATCATTCACATTTAGTTTGCGAGAATACAGCAAATTATTTAGTCGTCTGGTGCATTAATTTAGAAATGGATTGAAATTATCTAAGCAATGTAAACTCAGGGCATTTAAGAGCAAAATATGCAAGAGAGTAACAGACGTAACTGATGTGTGGTTAAAAAGGGTGAGAAGGAAAGGAAAAAAACTCCTCTAAGTCCTGGTAGACTTGATCCAATTAATGAAATGTTGCATCGATAGCAGTCTATAAATTGTCAATGTAAAAGCCAAGGAAAAGAAGAAGAAGCTACGTTAACTTTACTGTAAAATATATGATTCAATGTTTTTTGTTTTTCACATTGTTTCTTTGTATTTATCAATTATTATAGTGAAAAACATATATCCAGCCTTTAGAAATAATACATTATGTACATTATAAATGCGCAAATGATAATTCGGTCAAGAGAGGATCAAATAATCACTAATTAATTCTATTCAAAAAATTGACAAAGATTATATAATGTTTGCTGATAATGTCGATATTTTAAAATTTCATTTATGAAAAAATATTCAATGGACAAATCTATTATATAAAATAGCTGTCTACATTTATCGACAATTCGTAAAGTGGATTTATATGTAAATAAAAATAAAGTATATAAATTCTGTAATATATCTGTATGTTATGACATGTATATTGATATAAATGTGAAAAGTTTATACAGTTGTAATTTAGCAAGTAAGCAGTTGTTTATTTGAAAGATGCAAGTAAAATTATATATATATACATGCGAATATGAATTCTGTTTTCTAATTATACTATCATTTATAGTAATTATGATCTTAACACATCTTGCATATATACATACACTTTACGTATATTTTTTGTTAATTATAAAACTAATTTTTAAAAAAGTAGCTTAGAATATTTTCGACGGGAGACTTAAATTTTGTTTCAATATCAATGAACATTCCGATTCAGTGATTTCAGGACTCGTTAATGATTTTTGCAACGCAATATATTCTTTCATATTTAAGGGACTTTTTAGGGTAATCCTTTCCCCTGTTATTCCGATTGTATTAGAATACTCGGAATTGCCGGTTCTATAGAGAAAAGAGTAATATATTTCAGAATTTTAAATATATAATGAGAAATCTCGTGTCTCGAATTAATATGAACGTTTTTATGGACTTTTTACGTACGTTACACGAAGAATTTCTCTTTCTTTGAGATTAGGATCTAAATTGTTGCGCGGTTTGGCAATTTTTGGTGGTTTTATCAAGTCTCGCGATGCAATTATCCACGGATTTCTATATGCTTGTCTTTGAATTGTCTCTGCTATAACCCAATCTTGCGGTAACGTTATGTCTATACGAGCACGATCTAATCATGATGCAATTATTCATTTATATATTCATTTTAATAATGTTGCGATATCGTATTTAAAGATCAAACGCGAAATTAAAAAACTAAGAAGTATATATTTAATTTGTAATATTTTAAGTGGCCAAGACACAACATTATAAATAAGTAATTAGTGTGATGAAATTATAATTAACGGATCTTTATACCAAAATCTCTCGAGTAATCCAATTGATACATAGTCTTTGTTGATTTCTTTTTCTCGCGTTCTATCACGTTTTCATTCGGTACGAGTTCTGGTAAGACGTTTCTTAGATGGGGAAACTTGTCTCGTATCTATTATATTTATATTTTTGTTAATGGACAATTACACGAAAATATACGCAGCTACATAATCTTTTATATATAATTATTTTTATACTCACTCTATTTAAAGTGTCTAATGGATCCTCGCTTCGTTCATTTTCAGGCAATGATCGATTTTCCAGTCGTGTATTCAGATACTGCTTGTATGGACCGTTCAAGATGTTCAAAGGTGATCGATACTTGGGTAACGGTCTGTATCCAATTGGCCTTTCACCTTTCTCTCCCAGATAATCTTTCTTGTAGACCGTCGTAAAATCTCGCGAGTCCTCTTCAATTTCTACGATCATTTCCAGCGAGTTAATTCGAACAACTTATTTTTCTCGGAGAAATTTAGCAAACATCACAATTTATTTGAAAATATTGACAACGCGGTATCCTTCATGACGCGATACATATATGTTTTTATTTATGACAGTCTCGTTTTTTCTTTTTTTTACGCGAAAAGGTGAAGAGGTCCGTATGAAAAAAAAAATATAATTAAATAGATATTTTTATTTTACAATAAATTCCAAGATTCAAATCCTTTGTAATAAATATTAAGATATTTGTTTTTTCTCAGTTTTGAAGCTTCAAAAGTTAAAAATTTATCTCCAAGTCGAAACTCGAAATATTAGTAAACCGAAAGCAAAAGTATGTTTGACATTCAAAAACTTTCAAAATCGATATTAGATTATATAATTAAATTAAAGATTGAAGTTTGACCAATTTAGAGAAGAAAGATTTGGAATTTTAATTAAATTCCAATCTCAATCTTCAATGTATAGTCTGATATTGGCTTTAAATTAACGCATACTTTGATAAACAGAAATGTTGCAAAATTTGCGATATATATATATATATATATATATATATATATATATATATATACATATATATATATATAATACTATTATTTTTACAAGAGTTAAATTTATCATTTTTGCGGAAATATAGATTATGATTTCGAGTGTGTATTTATTATTTATTGTGTATTTATTATTGACTCTTAAATATGGAAATTAGAGTTAAATTTATTTAGCAACGCTGTATCAAACGCATCAAACGATCGTATTAATACAGTAACGTCGTTGTAATATCAATTAATGATCCTTCTGTGATTTTTTTCTTTCGCCGAAAAGCCGACTGTACTACTAATTGTAGGCACTAATCGTGATACATAAGGTTCGCCTGCGTCACCCGTCTAACGAAGTCTCTCCAAGATCTCTGGTAACACATTATATAAGGGATGTATAATACCGACTGACACATGGCACCCTCGCGTACTATAAACGCCAATTAGGACACGACATCGGATTTCCTAATTATAGGTACCCTCCTTGATATGCGCCTTTTCACATTTTTTGCTTGTTCTCGAGGATATCTTAGATCGTTATCGAAAAAAAATTTCTGAGATCTAGATCTCATTTATGATACTTCGTTTTTTTCTAGCCGGATATTATTCATAAATCAGTATTATACTTGTTTCTTATATTCGATCTATCTCGTCCAAGAAAATAATGAGAAGCAATGAAATCATGATATCGTTATTATAGCAAAAATTAATGAAACGTTACTTGTATTTTATTACTTCTTTCGATTTTATAATTTTAATGAATACTAGATCTTTTCCTGGGTTTTCTATTTCTTACAATAAATAAATATTAATAAATGTAATATTGAATTTTTTTTATACAATATATATGAATAACATAGACGAGAAGAAAGATATTGTTTAATAATTTTCCGCTACGATAACGATATATTTTTTATGATAAAAATTCATGATTACCTTCGACTTTTTTATCGAAATATTTATTTCGAAAATATAGAATTTTTTTAAAAATACAAAGAGACATTTTTACGATACAGTTTATGTGAAATTCGAATGCTTATAATTAGAAAATTATCTTATACACATTCATAATTGATTATAATCTTGGTTTAGTATTATTTAACAGTCGCTAATACAGTTAAATAAATCTCATTTTATATATAGAAAAAGTCGATAACTCGAGATATAATAAATGCGCAAATTCCCAGTGCAGAAGATCAACCTATTTTTCGTCAGAAGATACAATGTGTATATAGGATCAGCCGACTTTATACCGATATCAACAAACATGAAGATTTATGGTAACTTCGTAATGCGATTGCAAGACAGAAAAGAAAATCATGAATATTACACAAGATATAAATATAATTTATATCCGATAATCCGAACGTGAAGGACATCTCATACTCTTGTAAGTATGCCACATCGAAGGATCCTCTTTCTACGAAACACCTACAAACTGATACAATTTGTAACTTTCATCTCGATTATTTTCGATTTTTCTACTCCACCCACGGTGGGACCACCTCTGCCTGTCGAAAGGCGTCATTCTATCCATCCGTTAAATTGTACATCTACCTTCGACTCGTTTTTTCATACGCGAAACTTTGTCTCCATTATAACAGTCAGGCTTTCATTAATGAGATTGCGACATGAAGTCTGACTTTAATTTTGCGAGAAACTCAACGTCTGCTTCGAGCGAAAAATCGAAAGAGACACATAATACGCGTTGGCGCAAAGTACAATTAAAAGTTAAATGTAGCCCAATATATTTTTTCATTACCTATTTACTCGTAAATGTTGTAAATTAATTTAGGAAATGTTAAAATACCTGTTATACATATATAAGTCAGAGGCGATTACTACAGCTCTTACGTACAATCAATTTACATCTAAATCGAATTTTATATTTTATGTAATTTAATTTTTTCTATTTCTTTTTTACTTTATATTAACGTAAGCGCTTATCGAAATTTATCTAACGTTATAATAATATTAGGAATATTTATTCTTTACTAGAACAAGATGTTTGACTTGGTGCTTGATTAACTGTCGACTCTTAAGTCTGCGCTCTCGTGATAAACTGAGAATTGGGTATTGCTTTTAAGTAAACGTCGGAAGTTCACAGTCGCCGCAAAGGGTTTTATGGCTAAATGATCAAAGCCAGGTTCTGAATAATGGATATTGTCCGAAGCGGTCATTTCATTATATTTCCCGTGCGTTTAAGCGACAAGCTTCTGTATAACTCTCGTGTGCTCCGAACTTTCCAAATGCAATTCAGAAACTTAGTATCAAAGGCGAATACTCAACAGCAAGTTTTTAAATTACATCGCTGTTGCGTATCTCTAGGAAAGAATATCCTGCTATTTATTCTTAGAAAAGATATAAGATAAAAGTGGAAATTTGAAATACTCCAAAGTTAGCTTTTCCAAAAGAAAATGTCCAGGAGAAGCCGCGTGTAATAATTTACATATTTCGTACTTGAATCGCCAAAATGTAAATAAAAATTTAAAATAAATATTATATGATTGATTAAATTAAATATTTAATTCTTTACATAAATAAAAAAAATGTATGATACATGTATGATATTCTCTCGACGTATGTATGTAAACTTTTCCTGTTTTAATATTATTTATGAATATTGTATTGACACTTTATAATTGTTTTCAAATTAATTTCTCCGCTTGCCTGTAATTTCTTCACATCACTCATGCTTCATTATATCATCCCGTAAATTCGCAACAACTGCTCGCAAATACAAATTCGAATGTCTGCGTAGTTCATTATGCTTTCAACCAGCATGCAACACGATATCGCAGTTTTACTTGAAGCTTTCACGGAAGGATTGTCGCGCGTTGCAGCTTTCAAGCTTGCCTCAACCATTCATGTCTGTTACAGCTGCAACGACACGCACGGAATTGTGCGTGAATAAACTAAATTGTGCATGTTAGCCAAACAATGTCGAATATAATGAGACACTCACGGTAACACTCTTGAACGCCGTAACGAGAGATCATTATTTCCATTATTTTGCATTTAAAAACCGCAACGTGAAATTTTCAGCACATGTAAAAACAATTAAACTTAATACATGCGTATATCAATTATTTTGACTTATCCCCGCACGTTGATTAATGCAAATGTAATTGAACGCAAATATTATTATAAAATTAATATGTAATATAATATAACATATTATATAATTAATATATAATATAAAAGAATATCGAGGCATATTAAATAATAAGGCACTGAAGAAATTTTATTTAAAATAAACATATTTTATATATTTTAACAGAATTTTAATTTTCTAGAATTATGCATATAATGATATTTAAAAAGATTACGGAAAATATTAAAGGAATTCATTGCTCGTAATGAAATCTATCAAAGTTTATTCTCTATATTATAGGATTCGTGATAATACGACTTGATTTAAAATTAATGTAGAAATAAAACATACGAAAAATATAATTTTGAATTTCAAGATGATTTTTATGAGATCTTCTTCTATATCTCTTTAAATGTACAAGTTTTCTTTGCGCTCTCTATAAATCTCAGTCTCAAGTGGACATATTTAATTCGGATTGTGTGCATAACAATGCTGACTGATTTGCGCAATCATCTCCGTCGGAGTCTCAAGCAAACGAGAATGGTATAGTAAACAAATTTTATTAATCCGCATATTCAGCAACGAATTGAATTAACAAATTACAACGATTTACGAGATTGTGGCTCAAAATACTGAGCAAATTAAACTAATTATCTTTTTGTCGGAAAGACGAAAACGTATATTGATCCATCTTTGATTTTTTATCGCTAAAAGGGCCAAAATAAATTTGAATGTAAGTATTTTATAATCAGTTATTCTATCAACTTTGAATTAAAGAATTCAAAAATTATGAGAAATTCAAATAAGAAAAGAGTTCATGTTTTGTATAATTCGTATATCATTTGTATATGTAACTTTTTTTTAAGAAGAGAAACTATTTTTCTGTACTATTAGCTGTATACCAATTCTTGATTCATTAACATTAGTAAGTAACATGGAATTGAATATGATTCATGTAATTAACATTTATATCATGCATAATACATAACATCGGTATGACACATAATTTATAATTAAGCATCAAATATAATGAATGTCTCGCGCTGTTTCTCCTTCTTATAATACGTAATTGCTTCTCAAATTTTTGGGGCATCTTTATACGCAAAATTTGTGTATCTCGCTTTGAAACTGCCATATGTCTAACATTTGGACTCTTTGTAAAGAGTCTCAGATAATCGGATAGTTTCAAAGATAGTTTTCGAGGTCGGAACAGAGACAAAAAGCGCAAATAGATAAAGAGGGAGAGAGGGAGAGCCTAAGTACTAGTTGCTTCGCAACCAGTTGCTCTTCAGGAATATGAGTCTGTCGAGAGTTGCGTGGTGGTGAACGATAGCCGAAAACGATTTCATCCCCCGATTCGAGGGGATGCTCCTGAACTGCACGATCAGACGTCGCATACTAGAGCACGCGTGGTGGAGAACTTGGCGCGCGAGCTCCACTTCTCGTGGGGGCGCATCGCCACGCCTCCCTTCGCGTCTATATAAGCATCACGATCGTGGTGGAACCCTCACTCGCACCCCAGTACCCGGTGCCGATCAGCCGAGGGTGAGATTCCTATCCGAAACGGAGAAGACGACCGGGAACGTCGGGACTTTGTCTTACATCTCTTCCCCTTTTTCACGGATTTTCGTGAGCGCGAACCGTGACCCGAGCGACCGCATCGCGAAGCAATGAGATCCTGGTTATTGTGGTTGTCCCTTCTGTTGGTCGTCCTGGCTGACAGAGGCTTTGCCAGTCCTTACTTCGACGACGGTGGTGAGTTATGATTCTCTCTTAATCGCGCGTTGATCCAACAAACTGCTCCGAATACAGCGTAAAAATTCAGGAGACTGAATTCTAAAGAATGCACCGACAAATGTTGCAAAAATTTAAAACACTTTTTTTTTTATTTTTACAACTGTTTTTCAGAGATTTGCGTTGTCTAGATACGCTCGAATTATAATTTCTATGTGAATTATACAGATAAGAAATTATGGATGATATGGTGCATAATGTATTTTATGTACGTTGCATATTATATAACTAGAATAAGTACTTAAAAGAAACTTACAGAGGGCGAGAGATTTAGTACAGCTAAAAAGGAAGATACTTTCTCATGGAAAAGTAAATTAGAAATGTCGAATAAGGTTTTTTTCATACAAAATTTTATTTTCGAGGAAATTGAAATGATATCGAAAAAATGGAATATTGATCACATATATCCTTGTAATTTGATTTCTAATTAATTTAATATATCATATATTATCGCGAATTTATCTCAGTAGTGACTATTTTTTAAGATATAAGAAGATATAATTCTTTCCTTATTGAATAAATAAATTTATATATCTTTTTCTATTGTATAAATAAATTTTGTGTACCTTTCTCAACCATTTAAATTATTTTATTAAATAAAATATTATACTTTTACATTTATGTATTAGTAGTCATTTAACGATATATGATTTTTAATTTATTTTTCCATGGGAAATTATCTCTTTTTCAATTATACTACGTATCCCTTTATATACAATTGTAATTTATAAATCTCTTTTTTTTAAATAGTAATTAACAAGTTTCCGATAAAAAATTACGCGGTTATTTATTTGCATTTCCATATTGACTGTAAAGAATATAAAAAATTAGTTAAAAATATATTATTACAGTGTAAAATGAAAATGTTGAAAATTGGCTGGGTTAATTTTTTATTTACCAACTTTGATGTAACTAACTGGTGGAAAATTTTTGAATTTTATCTTTATATAAATATTTTTGTATTTAAACTTTTGGATTTTTTACTCCCACGTTGAGTGTGGACAACCAACATGTTTTCTTTGATGTGAAATATATTTTTAAAAGAAACTTTTTTTATTATTTGTAAATATTGTTAACATCGTCTGTATTGCACAAACAAAAATAAAAATAATGTCTTATATAGCTTGGAAGTAAACAAATACACTGAAAGTAAATAAATTTTTACAGTGCGTTTTATTTTTTTAGATGAAAATAATTCTTTTGAGACCATTTATTTTATGTGCGTGTTTATACAACTCTTTTAAAGAAATATGCTGAAAACACATGGAAAGTAATCAAGTTAAAATTTTCTTTACAATTCTTCGAATATGAAGCTTTTGTCTTAATTATAATTATTTTCGATTACATATTGTTTATAAAGACTTTTACGAAACTTTTTCATAAACATCTCTCTACAATGCAAATTATCCTTAAATTAAAGTTTCTTGACATTAGAGTATAACGTAAAGGAATCCTTTATTCGAGTGAAGTTTTCTAATTAAAATGCGTCATTTTATAGAAAAGTTTCATCGAAACAAATATTCCTTCTGTTAGTGGTTGCTTTAAAATCTCATTCAATACCTCTTGATAGGAGTGATCTTGTTTGTCTCTCCTTCGGAATTAATTCTTTCCTAAATTATAATACATCGATGAAAGAGTGTTACCGATAAGTTCTTGAAGAATATACAAGCTTCTTAGAAATTGCGCCCGCATTGAAAACTTTTTGATTGGTATTCTAATTTATTTAACATTTCGGAATTAATCAACTAGACACTTTGCGAATATTAAAACTTGCAAACTTTTAATATTTAGCACGTTCGCGTTACAATATCCCAAAATTCGTTTAACCTTGTTACTTGTTCCTTTTTTTACGATCTAAAAATCTAATCCGTTAAAAGTATAATCCGCTAAAAGTTTTATCAGAGTATAATTTATAAATGATGATTAACGTTATGAATTAAGTAACGCGAATAAGCGGCCAAGCGCGGCTAGAAACGCTAATATGACCAACGAAAATTTGTTAAAAGTCACGTAAAAATATTTCATCAAAAACTAGATAGTAAACGCGACTTTTTTTAATAGAAAAACTCTCCGCACAAAACTAACGGATCATACATAGTTCAAGTGACGCAAGTCTATGCATGATCGGACGAATCGAATAACGGAAACGCATTAAAACCATCATGTTCATAGCTTCAACTTGAAAGCATCAATTTACAACATGCAATCTGCAATATTTGCTTTTACTTGTGATTATCGTCTGCATTTTACGTAATACGGAAATTAAAGACAAAGTGAATAAATTTAATTTTGATATTTAATATCAAGATTATCTTGCTTAGAGAATTTATTTTATAAAATGAAATGAGAGAAAACGACAAGAAGAGAAATTAATGAGTGCGTGTATAGATATATAAATTTGTAATAAATAACTTAATATAAACTTTTAGATGGCTATTAACTCAGTTTAATGTTTTAAAGAGCAAAGTAAACTGACAAAGTAGATATACAAACTTATCTGTTTTCATATTGAAATAGTTCTCGTAAATTTACAGTTCATTCAAACTTTGCTTGCATCTCCTCTTGATCTTTTAGTGATTTATAATATTTATAATTTTCACTTTTTCTATTAGAAATTGAAATATCTTTATATTAGGCAAAACTTTTTAATTTTTTAATACGACTGAGGAAATTTGTCGATTATATTTTTCTTTGCTTTATCGTTCACTTTGATATTGTTACATTTCACGTAAATAATATATTATATATCTGAAAAAGATAAGTATTGAATATTTATGTATATCGGAGAATTTAGATAGCACAACTTGATTACGCCAATGAATAAATATTTACTTTATTTATGAAATACGCTATTCTTATCACTCTATTTTTAATTAGCAAAATGAATCGTTTTGGAAAATCATGATGATTGAGTAAGAACTGTCAGTGTTAATGAAACCGTAATCTGTTTCCGGCAGGACATCAGTCTCTGTAATTTAATTACAACCAGTTTGATTGCTTTTCGGGGCTTCCCGTCTGAAGATGCGGCAATTGTTTATTGATTTCTCGATATCTCGTAATCGGAAAATTTCTCCGTTTCTTCATTTGTTACATCAATTTTTGTATTAGATATTTCCAGATAATTTGTACTAGATATTACTTTAATATTTCCTATTGTTAATTCGCCAATAATATACTAATTGTAAGATCAAACATTATGATAATATTGCAAGTGTCTCTTGAGTTTTGTGTATTTTATGTACTGAAGTTAACAAGTCACGAGCTCCCCGAGAAATGACGTAACAATTGGATTACCCTGTATCACAGCGCAAATATAAGTTATGTGCTTTTCCTGCCGGACGATAAAGATACGGTCTTTCTTTGCGAACGATAAAATGGAATTTATTCTACTGTCGTTTCGTCACATTTTATTATTGCAATCCAAAAAGTAATATATGACTTTGGATAGTAACAATAGTAATGCCAAGAAATATGAACAAGACGTGTTCTAGTAGAAAGGCATGTTTGTAGAAAAACGACAGCAAGAATCTTTGTAAAAAAATTTGTGACAAATTTTTATAATAAAATTTTGTATATTAACTTTGATCTTGTATAATTTTATATGAGTGACATTTTATATGATGACGGTATTTTTTTCAATATCGGTAATTCAAAATTGTATAAACTTCGACATTTTTTCATTCTTAAAGTATGATTCTCTATCTCTCTCTAAAATGATAAAAGAAATATTATATATCTAATACAAATATAAACTTATATTTGTAATATATATATATTACAAATATAAACTTTAAAAGATTGCAATTTTTTAATAAAAAGTTATTTTAATAAAAAAAATGAAAATCAATATTACACTATTTACAAAATCAGTCACTGTTGCGAAAACAGTATTCGTGTATTTACGTGACGTTCTCCCTTGTTAAAAACTGCTAAAAAGATGACCTTTTGTCGACTACAAGCGCGAATAATTTCATGATTTTTTGTCATGGTACACGGTAGAAATATTGAAATATTAGCGATATCCCTAGAGTATTTGCGTAAAAGGAATGTAAAGCAACGAAGAAAAATGGAACAGCACCGAAAAAGAAACGAAAAAAAGTGGTCCTTGGATTAATATCTTAATCCTGCAGCAATGGGAGCGTCGACATGAAGGAGAAAGACCCTTTTAAAAAAGTAGGGAAAAGAGAGAAAGAGAGAGAAAAAGAGAAATAAAATGGAAAAAGGACGATAATGGATTGTCGCATGATAAAACTCTCATCAAGATTATCTTACCACAATTAATAAGCTCACAGCCGATCGCTTATCATTTTTTTATACATTTCCGATCTTTCATCTTTCTTCTATTGTCACGCGACTATTGACCGTGCGATCCGATAATACGATCATAATTTATTCGTTTCGCTACATTTCCACTCTGTTAAACCACGAGTAAAATTTCATAAAATATCCAAAAGCGAAAAATACCTGAGGCAGTTGCACAGTATGAAATATAACAAGAATTGCAAGAATTTAATAAAAAGAAAGTTAATATCGCACAAGCCAAGCTAAAATTCATAAAATGAGAATAAATATATAAAAATATATAACATGTATAAAATTATTTTTTTGGCGAAAATAATTTTTTATTTAATTTAAGTTTACGCATTTTAACTTGCTTTCATTTTTTCATTTCTTTTTTTAATCTTATTTATCACTTACGTAAATTTTCAATTTTCTTTGGAGGAATAAAAAACGACGAGTTTGTAATGAATAAGTAATACAATATTATATCAATTTCCTTTCAAACCGAGGGGTGAAGAAAAAAGGAAACATAAAATTTCTTAAAAGGATTATATTCTATTTTATTTTATTTACCACATTTTCTTTCACCTCTTGACAAAAAGGATCCTTTCGTAGAAATTCCAGACATAATAAGATTTATCAATAATCTATCAATAGACATATTCTTTCAGGCGGGGCTACACCATGAAACAAAGTCGCACAGCAATAAAAGTAGAACGTTGAAAAAATATTAAATATGATCGTTTTGATTATAATGCGTCTTACAATTGTCTTTTATAACAAAACTATTTTCAGCCTTTGTGAATTTTAGAAAATATAAAAAACAATTTAATTTCAGAAAATGTAAAGAGTACATATGAGAGAGTACAAAATATATTTCTTTTGCAACTGAATAGCTTTCAATATTTTGGAAAAATAAATATGTTTACTAAAGTAAAATATTTCCCAAAAGAAATTTATACAGCAAAGATATTCTTTGCTGAATCTGAGATATACATGGTTGTTTGACATTTCCCACTCGTTTCGGTTCGTAAAACGGTTCGTCTGCAGTTTTCATAATAATCTAGATACTGACTATTTCCGATGAGACAAATTTATTTTTGTTAAAAGGTGAAGGCAAAATTGCTCCAATAATCTAGTGAAAGAAACGTAAGTTGCGAGATCGAGTGTGCGATATCTTCATTGTTGACATTGTTATAGAATTATAGAATTAGCATATTCTAGGATGTTCTTTCATTTTTATCCTATTTCCGTAACAAAGATGTGCCCCTTTAAGCCCAGATTTGTAAGCTTATTCGTATTCTTTGTATCTACGCTTGCGTGAAATTAACGGTACGCGATGCGAATTTTATTTTGCATCCATAAAAAGAATTTTCGACTTTTATTCTTTATACTTTATAATTTTATACTTTTATTATTCAGTAACTTGTGAAAATTTATGTTCATGGCGCACATATATCAAATAAAAAAATATTTTCTTTCGTTTTTAATTAATCGACACGACCGATCAGAAATATATATAATAAAATGTATATGCAGATCGTATTATAAAAAGGATCGTTCGCTTTACTTTTGCAGAAGACGTAGGCGATTTCCAAGGTGGCGACTCCTCGGATTATACAGACAATGCTTTGGAGAATCTGATGCGAGCGGCACAAAAGTGAGTAAATTATCTTACTTGTCAATCTCGGTTTCATCTCTTCCTCGTCTCAATCCTCTTTATTGAGATTTTTCTCGTAGTTCCCCTATCCCGTTTTTCCTAGTTTTTCTCTCCAGTTGACTGTTGCGGAAATTGCATGCTTTCTACGGATGTTAAACTTCTTTTCTCGTAAAATCTTGTCAAGCAATTTATCACTGATAGAGAGAAAGAATTCATCTTTACGTGTATGTAAAAAAAATAGAATGCATGTACGAATATCTTACAATCTAAATTTGGACGAGAATTCTGTCAAGAATTATAAAGGAATGCGAAAAAAAAAAAAAAAAAAACGGAAACTCGAGAAAGGGGTTTTTCTATTCGTGCGGTCCCTAGAGAAATCTTTCCGGCATTCGCGCAATAGATATTACGCGCATGTGCACATGTACGTGTGTATGTATGCGTAAAAATACGTGTCGCGAACTGACATTACTATTCCCCAGTCCTCCCTTCTTTCCCGATGTCTCGATGTCTCGATGTCTCGAAAAGGCATTCTCACGATTCCCCTAATCTCGAGTAGACGTACCTCGTTGATATACTTGTTTAGGCGGGCTTGCATAAGACGCGGGGGCAACTGCGATCACCGGCCGAAGGACTGCTGCTACAGCTCCAGCTGCCGGTGCAATCTCTGGGGCTCCAATTGCCAGTGTCAACGGATGGGTCTCTTCCAGAAGTGGGGCTAAGCTACCTCCTTTTCTCTCTTCCTTTCCCCCCCCCCTCCACCGTCCCCCTTTCCCCTCCCGCCATTCTAAGTCCTCCTAAGTCTTCCTACGCGCGTTTCCCGTTTCCCGTTTCCTTTTTCTTTCTTTTCTTTTCTCTCTTCGCTTTTATTACGCGGGAGATTATCCCGACAACAATATCCTCCTCCTCGAGCACACTCGGACGTTCCTTCCGTACAATTTAACCTCCCACCCGATATATTTATATATCCTATGGGAATAATTCTCCAACGTTTTCAATATTGCTTATCAATTTATATTCTCGACTAAAATGAAGGCCTCGATGATACGCTTGATACCGTTTTTGTTCATGTCCCTTGGATCCTTTTTCGTCGCGATAATACGCGATATTAACTTGGAACACGGTACTCTCGAAAAACCTCTGCATGTTTTTCCACGATATCTCAAGTCTCCCTCAAGTCTACCTCTCTCGCGATATTCGATAGAAGAGAACTGCGCTAATCATTTAATTATGCTTAACGATTTTCTCCTTCTAGATCGTAACTTCAATTATAATATCGATAATGCGACAAATATAATTAATTGATAGCCAATTATAATGCAATCGATCCTTATCGAAGATCGCGATTCTCGTGAGAATTATTATATTAAATGACGTTTTACTCTGATCGTTATATTTCTTTTTCTTCGTTATATTTCTTTTTATTCGTATTCACTATTTATTTCATTAAAAATACTCTTTCCTAAATCCCTGCTTGGATTTTTCATCGTTTCATCAACGAAGGACATCATCAAATCGGAGCAAAATATAACGAACATCAAAGGATTAAACGTTCTTTTGGATCCGATTGGATTTTCCGAATGCGACGCACAAAGAATACAGCCATGAAAATGTATCTATAATTTCAATCCCTATAGTTTCCGCCTGTTGCAAAATAAAAAATAATTGATAAGTCGAAATATAATCAATTTCACGAATATTTATTCAATTTTGGATAAGTTTGGAAAATATTATATGTATAAATGTATAATAAAATTGCGTTTACTTTGTAACGACGATAATATTGCTTATCAATTCTTCTTTGAAAGATCTTTGATTGAAAAGGAAAGTTTTTGTCACTCATATACTTTCCTACAAAATTTAAAAATTTAATTTAAAAAATTTAATTTTTAATTTAACTATAAATAAATCACTGGAAAAAATACGTTCAAACTAACATATATTTATGTTTTAATATATTTATGTAAAATTGTCAAACATAATTAGGCTTGATTCCGCTGCTCCTTTTCGACGATACTTTCGGACCTTCAAGAGTTTATCTACAGAGAATCTATATAATTCGACTCTCCCGTTATGAATAATAAAATCTACGAAAAATCTCGACATTAGATAGAAGTGTAATTCTTTATGGCGAATCAAACAAGATTCTCACATATCTACGGAACTTTGCAATCTTTCTGGATGGGATGAAAAATTCGGAAAAAACGTTAAAGAGAATTATAAATTACGAGAATTACTGCCCTCTGATTGGAGATATCTCTCCGGCCACTTTCGCCAATCAGATCGTCGGTGTTCCTTAACCGTTATTCCATCAAGAATGATTGCGAATAATCGATAGAATAATTAAGATTCAGTGTAACGGGAGAGGGATTTCTTCCGGTCAAGTGCGGAAATCGAGACGATCAAGAGGACGTGAAATCATTGTATAGTCGTCTCGGCAGAGAGATAATTAATATGTATATGTGTCTAAAATGACGGCGATTTATTTAAAAGCATATTTTGACATGTAGATACACAGACGACATGCAATTTACATTCTCTGTACCATCTCTTGAACTTTAAACACATTATCTACTTATATATGTATATGCATACGAATTATAAAGTATAAATACTACAATAATAAATGTTATGCATTGTATCTGAAGGTGGATGTACACGTATATCGATATATATATATATATACATAAATATATTTCATGGAAATATAATATATATTATGTATGTATAATGAGTATTCTTTCTTGTTTTATGCGATCCAATACCAATGATGATTTAATTTCCCATTTATTTTCATTTCAAACCTTCTCCTGGTAAGTGGACAAATTAGCATCTTATTAATATCCCGATTTAATTACAAGAGCAAAGCAATCAACGCGTTAAAAGTATTTAACGCGGCCTCGAAGTAAATAAATGTGTAAAAGAAAAAAGAACATATAAAAAAATATAACTGGAAGGCGCTTTTTTTTCACCTGTTAAACCAGCTGAAAGTCTTCTAAAGTCACGATGATCTTTTCTTCACTAGGTCGTTGAGGTAACGTCATGCTAGACCTGCAGGTCAAGTAACTGGATCGTGACGTATGATTTAGCTCACATGATTTTCTTACAGTGAAGGATTACTCGGCAAATTACATGCATGTAACGTGTTCCTATCACAATTTAAATTTAATTGGAGAATGATAAGTCTTGGTATGAAATCATTTGCGATTAGTTACAAATCCAACGTTAATCACTGATAACTTCATTATTCTTATTTGTCATTAATTTTTTAAAAATGTATAGTAGTTCTCTGAGCGCGTTTCTCAAATTTTCTTGCATATTTTTAATTTAATTTTTGTGTTTAAATGTTAGCGAAATTCTCAATCAGATTAAAAGTGATTCTGTACAAGGATTCCATATGTTCTCTGAAGTTAATTGCGTTCGTAAGTTATATTAATAGCTTACAAAGACACAGAATTGTTGATACAGCCGTATTGAAATAAATGACATTATTTCCTACTTTAGCCTCTAGCATCTATAGTTCCATAGAGAATAATGCGCGCGATGCCTAGAGTTACATCGTGGGTGTACAATGGAAATTTCCTACTTTCCTCAGTTTCAATAAAAATGCAAATTAATGGGTAGTGTAATAGCTTCATGATTTTTAATATCGATCTTATTTGGAAAAATTGTAATGGATATGATAATATCCGTTCTTACGTAACGGAATTTAACTTTTATTTTTATATTTATTCCATCGTATTTTTTGACATGCATAAGCAATTTTCATATTAACGAACAAAAATCAAAATTTTTATATAATGTAATTTTACAAAAATGCATAAAATTAAAAATAATTTAATTTTAGAAAAATAAAATAGAAAGTAAAATATTTTTTAAATTTGAATCCTACTTTTGCAAAATTTCACAAATTAATTGATTTGGGATCTCTTACTATCCATTTCGTTTCGCATGTTGCATTTGATCTTCGAATACATTCGATATTGCTGGAAAAACCGACTGACAGGAATGATGAACGACAGTCGATAGGTCTTGCTAATCGTACACACATCTGTAAAGCCACGTCGATCTCGATCCCGATTTCTTGTGCGGGAAGGAAAGGAGAAAAGGTTAAACGAGTTAACCCTCGCGGAACCTCGATGACCCATGTCCTCGGTCCGAGTCGACTCTGTGTCGTAAATAATCTTTCCGTGGTAATGCAACGGGTGTTCTGGACACGTACACTCTTAGAATATTTTGTTCAGTATTTATTAACTCATCGTTCAATCGCGTTTCTTCAGAAATGTCAAAATACATATTCTCTAGAAATATGCGAACAAAATTGAAATGATAAAACGAATTTTATTTCATCGATGTAGAATGCTTATTTAAAAAGCAAATAGTAGTGTAATATCTGTGTTTCGAGAGAGAAAATCTATTCTTCTTCTCATGCCTTTAGCGAGATTTAATAATTATTTAATGATAAGTGATTATATATAAATCAATTGAGCATCAAAATTACACATCTAATCTTATATTATATATATATATATATATATCTTTTAGGTAAGTTATTGTTACTTTGCTTCACTTATTAAATTTATTTATCATTTTTCTCAGTATATTTTTTAAATAAAAATGAATATGATATTTTTATCATATATATTATCATACATATATAATAACATAAGATATACAATACTATGAGAACGAAAGAATAAAGCGGACATAGATATTAACATCTGCTCGCTCCACATATTTTAATTTTCAAGTAAAAAACTTTTTATATTTAGACGTTATTAATATTGTACTTTATATTTAATAATTTTATATTTATTCGTTATTAATAACTGTGGATCAAATTAAAAAAAGTTAACGTTAATTTACGCACATTTGTAACGATCGAACAAAAACATTTTACGATGAGATTCGTCAACGAGGACGGCTACTAAATTATAAATAATTTCAGTAATGAACAGTAATGAGAAAGATGATCCGTATGTATGTCAGTGATGCAATGACAGCGTCGATAAACTCTTATATCTAACGGGGCATGTTTGCTTCGTTCTATCACGCACACGTAGGTCAATTTATCTTTCGAGACCGTGGCATGTGTTACAAAATGTATAAAGTAAAATGTTTAATATCTTAAAGCTCTTTAACGCATAATTTTCACTTCCCTTTTATAAGATATTAAGAGAAGCATCGTACGCGATATTTAAAATTCCAACTTTCAAAAAAAACTTTTTTTTACTCCAATTTTTACTCCAACTTTTGTTCAATCACATCGCAAAATAACATTTTGTTTAATATCCTGCGAATAATCGCTTTTATCAAGACGACGATTCATTCGGAAGAATACTATAAAAATTCGAGATAAACGCTTTGAGCTGAAAAGAGTATCTCCGATTACGAAATAATGTCGAGTGAAAGGAGAGGAGGCATGACTGGACTACGAAAGGACGTAATATCACTCTGTTGGAGAGTTCGACGACACGATCGGGAAGGAACCATAATCTCTGTGGATCACGTTTTGCACGAGATGGTTCAACGAACTTGAATCGCTCGCGAAGCGAGCCTGTACTTTTTGGCTTCTATCTTTAAAGGTGAGGAAGAAGCAGACGGGATCGCGAGGGGAGATAAAGTAACCGAAAGAGAATGACAGGACAGTGGATCTTGCGATTAATTATCTCCCAATATAATTTTATATCGCTTGCAATATTAATCGAATTAAACGTAAACGCATTAATTTATTTAATTTATTTAATTTATTCGACTAATTTTAATATTGAAAAAAACGTTTATGTCACGTTGAGTTGAAAATTGAAGATTGCATAGATTACTTTTATATAAGAATTGAATCTCTTTTAAGTTTCCCGAGATTAAAAATTTTTTCATTAAATTTCTTTCTCTCTGAATAATTTATCTCGTCTGTCCAAATAAGCAACTCTCGACGGATTTTATTACTACTCGTATTGCGTTAGGGGGAACTGTCTTTTCTTTGTGTCATTATTGTTGGTGTAGCATTTTATTACACCGGCGAATCAAGTCTTTGTTTCGATATCGTAGCACTAAGCATCTGTTTATTACCTCTGGCAGCTATCGCTGATCGAGAGCGAGTTTTCTATCCAGTGCTTTAATAGTAACGCGAGTAACGGTCGGACGATCGTCGAGAGTTTACTGATGAATGCACGTAAAATCGGTGAACAAACAGATAAAATCGCGGCTTAAGAATTCCAAGAGACAATGCGTTTGCGGTCGCACATACTTATTGAAACGGGAAACCGATTGGCTGCGGTACTTTAATCCTTATGGTAAACATCAAACACTCGCATGCCCAAGCATTTCACACAAGATTTCAGTATTTCAGTATATTAGAATTTCAGTATAGTAGAATTTCCACTAATCAAACAAGGTATCTAAAGAGATACATTCAAAAAAACTTTCAAGCGAATTTTTCGACAATAAAGCAAATGATAAATTTTATTTACATTTTAGAAGAATAATTTTATTTTTATTATTATGTATTTTATTTTGTTTTATTATTTTATTTTATTTTATTTTATTATTATTTATTTTAGAAGAATAAATTTTATTTACATTTTAGAAGAATAATAAAAATCTACAAAATTATAACAGTTATATTCTGTTATAAAATATTCGAAAAAAAATAGAACGTTCGAATAACGAAGAAAAAGAGCATATGTAAAACTTGCCATCTTTTATGTGCGAGAGAACCAGATGTTATTTACAATACGAAAATACATTTTTACAGTAGTGCGCCTAGCTCTGTGTTTACTCAGCTCTGTTTGTTCAATGTGCTGGTGTCTTCGAAGCATATTACGCGATCTCCAATGTCTCGGCACGTCGTTGCGTAAGTAGGATTACTATGCGAGCATGCGACTCGTAACCTTGAAAGCAGACCACAAGCAAGCATACGTCGTGTCTCTCTACCTACGTCCTGACGTCATGCTCGACCGAGAAGAGAAGATGGAAACTATTGGTGACAGTAGTAGCTGTTGGTAGACAGTAGTTACTCGCGATATGAAGATATGAATATTTAGGTCATCGTATCTCGTGACAAAGATACAATTGTTCCTCGAAAATAACAGCAAATAACTGCGTTTGCTTCTTAATGAAATGCTTCGATTTTTCCCTAAAATCTTACCCACGCGATATAAATATAATTATTTTAACAATGCGATTAAATTTCAGCTAATTCAGCTAAAAATTACAAAAAATTAGTCTTACGTTTTTGGAGATTAATTCATTAATCCATAAATTATGTTGCGACTCGCAATCCAATTTGGAAATAACACGTAGTAAGTATGTTTATTTGGCGACATGTCCTACCTCAGGCTCGCTAATCATCAGATTTATGAGAAAATATATCTGACACTACCTACAGGCGCATTGCTAAAACATAACTGACAGATCGTGGGTAGTGGACGTGAATTATCACGGCTATTTCCGGAAGTACATCATGGAAATAAAGGAGTATACATTTCCGGAACCATATGTTTGAATATACGCTTTGTGTTTTTACGTGCTACGGATTAAGCTTCACGAAATATGTCCAAAGCGTCTGTCCAATTTGAACAACCCGTTGCATAATCAAACATAATACACATGCATAATTTTTAATAAATATTTATTCGCTTTTGATATAATCATAATTTATTTCCAACAACCTTTAGACATTACTTTTTATTTTTGTAATAAATATTTCTTATATATCTTATATATCAATTTGATTTCACGAAAAAAGAAGAATTGAAAAAATAAAAGACATTAACGTGAAACTTGTTTAGTGTTTCGTATACAATAATTGTGCAAATTAAACTTGACCAACTCATGACGTTAGCAGCTATTACGACATTTTATAGCAAACATTACGATGCGCTCGTTAAGTACTTCAGCAAATGTTTGATATAAAAATGCGCTTAAAAATGAGAATTTTTACGTCGCAAATTATTATATAATCTCGGAGCGAGCGTTCAACGTTTCGCGAAAGGGATTTAATCGCGCACGAGTCTGCAATCTCTCTCTCTCTCTCTCTCTCTCCCTCTCTAAGATGAAACGGCAAATTACTTGGCACGCGTGAAGATAATCCTCGTAATTAGTCTACGAGCTCGTCTGTGTGGTCGCCGAGTAAAAAGCATCGCGTCAGATTTTACGGTCCTTTATCCCAGCCGAATGCGCGATGCTCGCGCGACATTCGCGGATCATTAGCTCTCTCGAGCTCTTATGCCTTTTTTTCTCGGCAGATTTATCGCGCGTCACGGAATAAAGCGCCTAATTATGCGCTTAAACGTAGCTCGAATCTCCTCTAAGTTTATTGCTCCGAGCGCGTCGAGGAAATTACAATTTCATTACGGGATACGACAGTGCATTCCGCCACGCCTGCGATGACATGATAAATAGAATGCTGCGATTATATTAATTAAATGCATTACGGAGATAGCGCGCCATCCAGGTAGCCTCCCAGAGCGGTTTGTAAATTTATCTAGAGTGTTTGCATCTAAGTACAAGGATGCGCACTTATCGATTCCTTGATAGCGCTGCCGCATTCCTGGCCTTAATTATGTCAACGTACGCGTACGGTGTCGATTTGAATTACTTGCGGGATTTTCCATCGGGACGAAAACTCGGGGAAATACCTTTACCCAAGTTATCGAGAGCGGCCAATAACTTTGCTGTTGATAAAACCGCGAAACAATAGAGCTTTGATTACATTCCTGCGTCCTGCTGCCAAGTCTAATGGAAATTGTACGCGTCACTCTTATCCGCTTACTTTATTCTCAGCGGTTTTTGTGCTGTAAGGCACAAACAATATATGCTAACAAGATGTTGTAATTTATTCTCTCTTACTCGCTATGGTTTTATTAGATTAAATAATTAATCCGTACAAGATGGGTTTTATGTACCCTAGACTTTATATACTCGGATAAAATCTGTCTGGAAAATGACTTTGAGATTTGAATTATACTCATTAACCCGACTTGGCTTCCCTCTCATCTCCCATCTCTAAAAGATGCAAACCCGTCTTCTGGATCAGCCGAATTTATGAATAAAATATTTTAGAGTACCATTAAATAATCACTTTGCATTTAAATATTAATAAATTACGATAAAGTGCGAAAAGTGATCTCGATTTCGAGTAGAAGCCGGACATTCATAACGCTTATTCGCGTAGTAGATTTATACGATGAATAAAAAGCGTCGAGGTTTTTCAGAATTCACAGATCGTTTCTTCGAAACATGAGTAGGATGAAATACAAGAACGGAATACTACCTGGATAAAAGCGGAAATCCTGGCAATTTAAGTAGGTTTATTGCACTGTGCATCGGCTTGCACGCACATGTCCTGCAAGATAACACATGTCCTATAGGATAACGTAATAACGAGATTAAATTGTCGCGTGATGGAACATCGATACACGTGCAACAATAAATTTTATTACGGGAAACAAACGTATACGGTCTGCATAACAATTTTTTTTTTGAAAAAAAGTCTGAGTTTGTATATATGTATATATGTGTGTATATATATATATATATATATATATATATATATATATATATATATAGCGTTTTTTAACAAGTATAAAAATTTTTAAGAGATGATTCTTTGTCAAAGGGGGTTTTTCATATAAATATATACTCCTACATTCCTCCCCCTGTAGAGTTATACTCCTTCAAAAATGGGGATAAAAATTAGGTTTTTAGGTTTTTATTATAATTTTGTTTTTGTTCCAATTTTCCCAACATTTACTCAAATTTTATTTTTATTTTAAAATTGAACTTCTCGTAATTCGAAACCTATGCTATTTAGCATTGTGTTGTGCATGATAACGTATTTTATTTTTTTCTTGAAAACTATTGATTTCATGAAAAAATAAAAGAAATAAAAAAGTTTGTAAATAAATCAAACTTTTTAATGCATATTTCTAGAGGATTATAATCCGGCCCATTAAAAAGTTTTAATAAAAAATTAAGTAGGAGTTGCGAGTAGCTTTTATCCCCCTATAACAATACAAGAGGCTGAAAAAATATTAATAACCTTTTTACTAGTAGAAAATACCTAATTTCATTTCTTTCACTTGTTCCAAATTTCAGAAAAAAATAAAAACCTAATTTTTACCTCCATTTTTAGAGGAGTATAACTCTACAGGAAAGGATGTAGGAGTATATGTTTATATGAAAAATCCCCCTTAATTTTCAACGAAGAAATATCTCCTAAAATTTTTCGCACTTATTAAAAAACACTCTGTATATTTAATATTTTTTAATTATATAAAATAATTCTTCGACAATTTAAAGAAATCTGATATTACATATCACATGCAGACATGTCGGTTCGATCGGGAGTATCTTGTATGAGGGAAACTTTTAAGAGTGCAATAAAAATAAAGATGAAATTTGAAAAATGCAGACATACCGGTTATCGAGCCGGTTCGCGACAAATTTTTTTTTACGCGACACTACATTTCCTCGACGCATTAAAGATTTCTCTATTTTCACCGATTCCATGGCCAGGAAGCTGTCAGTTTGAGCTTATTACATACCGTAAAGCATAATTGCTCACTTAACTCCATTTTAACGGCGCTCGCTTTCCGCAACGCGTCGACGAACAAAGACGCTCGCGTTTTAAGCTTAATTAAATAAAACGTTCGTGCAAAAATGCATAAACGTACCAACGGCTTAAACATTAATGCAATTGCACAAAACGCGACGAAATAATCTGCCGTGCCGTGCTCTAATAGTCGTACTCAAGAAATTGCTGCTGATGCCAGTTTCAAGTATTCCCGATCGAATCGTTTGGCTAAACGACATGATTTTTGTCGACGACGAATAAAAGCTAATCGAGATAATCCGCTTAATTTCGAATAATTGCTGAAATGGAGATGTAATTTCAAATAATTTAATTTACATATAAAACACAATCTTGTAGCTAAATTTATAAATATACATAATTGAAAAGAAATAAGTTACATGTATATTTTGATTATATAATATTATAACTTGATAAATAATATTTCAGAGGAAAGTGCATCGTGCAACAAAGAATCGGTATTGAATTGTATTTTAAGACTCACACATACCAGGATTTCCTTTTAACGTAACGTATAATTTTACCGCGTCATATAAACGGAAAGCTGATTGATTAATCTTCAATTTCATTATATAACTAACGGAGTACAATTTTATAAATAAATCACACGCAAACAGAATTTCGGATAAATACACATATAATATAATTTTAATTAAAAGATGAATATCTATATTTATATTTTGGAGTACAGTTATATTATTTAATATCAATTAAGGAGCGGATAGAAGAAGGAGAGAGATTTCAGAATTTATCGATATCACGTTAACGATAACGTATAAATCACCCGAGCGATATAAATACACGGATATTAAATTATTAAATTCAAAGAAACAAATGTAGAGGAAAAAGAAGTACATCGACGTAAACGCTGCGTAATAATTATCACTTTATTAACACAGAGAAAAATGTATACTGTATTCAAGTAAATATTATTTATTTTAAGTATATCATACGTTTGTATATTCGCAAATATATCATAAGTTCATCACAAGCATTAAATTTAATTAAATATATTCTGAATTTTAGTAACTGCAGTATTTTAGTCAAGAATATTAAATTAAAACAAAAATTTGGTTTGCTCACAATGTTTGATTTTTCTTTGATACAACTTTACAATATTCTTGAAGAGAAAATTGTAAAGTGGTATCAAAGAAAAATCAAACTTTGTGAGCAAACCAAATTTTTGTTTTAATTTAATATTCTTGACTAAAACATTGCAGTTTCTTCTTTTGAATACATGATACTGAGATTTTCTAAAACTTGTGATGAGTATATTTTCAGACTATTATCAAGAATATATTCCTCATTGAAGAAAACTATTACTCAAAAAAAGAAAAATAAACTGAGTAATCATTTTTCTTGGCAGTAGAATGATATTTTTCTCTGTGAACGTCAAAATCAGCTGATCAAAATAATCAGACTCCTAACTTTATCATTCGTCCTTTTCACGTTTTATCATTCACCCTTGCCAAAAATCCACCTTATACCCCGCCCAGTTACAAGTCCGCGAGATAAAGATGCGATTTGGCGCGGCGAGAGGACAAGGGAGCTCGAGCGAGCCGCGGAATCATGAGTGGAGAGTATAATGACAAGTGCGCTTGGGAACCGATGGGATGGGGGAACGAGAGGAGCGGGCGAGCAGAAGACGGTGCAACGAGTAGAGGAAGGAGACAGAAAGAGACAGAGAGAGACAGAGACAGACAGAGAGAGAGAGAGAGAGAGAGAGAGAGAGAGAGAGAGAGAATGACAGAGAGAGAGAAAGAGAGAGAGAGAGAGAGACGGAACACGCGCGCGATCCGGGCAGCTCGGCCGCGTCGCTCGGCATCGGGCCTCAGTATGCCGCGCAGCGCGCAGGCTCGCGCACACGTTCCTCGTCCCTCTCTCTCTGCCCTGTCGCCTTTCCGCCCGTGCGCGTCCTCTCTCTCTATTTTCCTCGCCGTCTCGCGCGCGCGCCGCCCGAGTATTTACACGCACGCTCCGTATTCCTCGCGTTATTACGTACGGACGTAACGTACGTGCGTCGAGCGCGTGTGCATCGGTCAGTTTGTACGCAGGTACAAACACATCCCGCGACTGGCTCCTCTCTTTTTTTTTTGTTACGCGCGCCTCTTCCTGCGCTCCCGGCTGAATAGCGAGTGTGCGTACGCGTGTGTGGATATACGCGGGTGAGTCCTTTTCTCTCTCTCTCTTTCTCTCTCTCTTTATGCACGACTACTACTCGCGGGCGAGCATCCAACGGCAGACAGGTACGCGGAGGACACGTCGCGTCACGCCGAGTCGATTAACGGAGTGTACTCGCTAGTAGTACGGCTAGTGGTGCGCGCCTTTCAACGAGGGACGCGTGCCCCGGAGTAATAAACCTCGTGGACGAGGATCGAGTCCCTTCTGGATCTTCGGGAAATCGACGAGCGCGATGTCGACTCGCGTCGCGCGACCCACATACACGGTGACACGGTGACACGCGGGGCGAAAGTGATCGGGAGAGTGCACGCGGGAAAACCGAGAGCCGTTGTTCGCCGAGAGTGTAACGGAGCAAGAGAGAAGCGAAAGGGCGCGAGTGCGTAGACAAGGGAACGAGAGGCAAATAGTGGAACGGTTGCGAAACCTCCTCGGGGCCGAGAGACGTGGCACGAAATGAAGCGAGCGTATCCGCGAGCGATCGATAACTATAGCGGCACTATAGTCGACTCGGTGAATAGCGAGCGGCTACCAGGCAATCCAACCTAACGGACGACGCGTGACCTCCAGGAGCGGCAAATAGGTAGACAGGTTCGCCGCCGGTCCCAATCCGGGGACGATGTAGAGAGAAAGTCGCGTCGCGTTTTTCTGCGGATCGGAGAAAAGACCGTCAAGGAGGAACGAGGAAGGAGAGAAAGGAAAGAGGGAAGAATGCGCGTCTCGAGGACGCGATGCTCGGGAGACTTTGCGACCGGTCGATGATTGTCGGGATCGACCAACGATCGATCTAACGCGCCGGAAGATTCCTCGGAACGACCGAGACGGAGCGTTCCAAGCGGAACGCGAACGGAGAGGATTAAAGAGCGAAGAGGAGGAGACAAACGGAAGAAGGGCGAGAGAAAGGACGAACGAGAGAGAGAGAGGGGGAAAGGAGCGGTGAAAGGAGGATAGAGAAGGAAGATATCTTATTTTTAGCAGCGCCGCAAAAACCGGTTCCACCGAGTCCGCTGCCAAGGGAACCGATAGCCCTCGCCAAGGGTTTTCGAGAGAGAAAGATATAACATATGCAGATGATAAAGCGCGCGCGCGCTCGTCCTGTCGAGATTAGAAATTGCGGGGGAGAGAGAGAGAGAAAGACGAGACGCTTACACTTAAGAAAAAGATACGACGCGGATCTAAGAACTAAATCAAATAGGATAAATCACACATTTTCGTAAAAAAAAAAAATTGCCGCAATTTTCCACACGTGGGAAAAATCGAGACAGGATCTCAGGAAGCAGGGACATTCGCGCGTACTCGAGGAACGTGGAATTTCGCTTAATCCGATACGCGCGATTGTCTTCCATCTCGCCGCACCTTGCTCACCCCCGCCGTCCCCTTCTCCCCCCCTCAACCGTGACCACCTCCGCCGCTCCTCGCTCTCTCACGGCATCGTCTATCGATTGCATGCGTGCGTACGCGACGAGGCGGCTAAGAGATTCGATTATCGACCGCGAGGACGACGACGCATCGCGTGACTTCGAGATTAAAAAACGCGACCCGACACCGGTTGGCACCGTACACGGAACCATCGGGGTTTCCGGCTGGAGTCAAGGACACGCTAGCGACGGACAGGATCAAATTCCTGCGTTTAAAGTAAACAAGAGATCGATCGTTAATCTAGCGAAATTTTTGTTTACCCAGGACACGAACAAATATAAGTTGGACTGGGAAAAATCGATAGAGTACTAGCGATCGATAAACATTTTTTCGTTCGTCAACTAGGAGCAATGACCGACGTTAATTGGGAAAATCGATCCCCGCCGGCGGTATCGAACTGGCTCGGGGCGCTTAATTTCCGGTCGCGTCACATGCACGTCCAGTACCGGCGAAATTAAATCCGCCTGTAATCAATTGATACCTCCGGGGCGAGAAACGATCGCCGAATCGCACGGTGCATACGTATCGTTGGTCGAGGCAAAGCCCGTCGAGGAGATCGATGTGACAGGTGATCGATCCGAGCCTCTCGCCGTCCGCCGAGCGGATCGTCGATCCGCGATCGTCCGCGACAGGAGTACCGTTCCCGTTCCGGGCGGGAGCCGAGGATCGCGGGATCGCAGAGGAAACGAAGATTACGGCATGAAGAATGGCAACCGATTCTTCGAGCACTCGTCAGGGCGGGGTGAGGGCGGTCGCCACGACGACTACCGATCCGCAGCGGAGCGAGAAGCGCGCCGTCGCGGCGCGGGGCGCCGCCGGCGCGCTGGCCCTCGGCGTCGTGGCTCTCGTCGTTCAATCGGCGGCCACCGGGACACCCACCTGGGGATACTTCTCCAATCCTGACGGTGAGTCACTGGTCGGCGCGCGTGATCGGTTTTATCAATTAAGACCGTGAGTCACTTTGTAAATAAGCAGAATTCCCTTCCTCGCGGAATCCCCGACTGCCGTCTTTGTCAAGGTTCTTCATTTCGCATGTGATAAGGAGGACGTTTTAAGAGTCCAGTCTCTTACTTTAGTATGAGAAATGATTTTTAGGGATTTTTTTAAAGATATTAAAAGCTCTTTTTGACGGTTCATATATGTTTTTGTTGACGTTTAAAATACATTAAGACTGCTCCTCGTTTAATTGTCTGAAATGAAGAAGCTCGGTCAGTTTTATTCCGTAGAATTTTTTTGAAATACTGAATCTTAATTATGTGTAAAGTTGAAAATTCATATATATTTAATATTTTTTTAATTTTCAAGAAAAAATATTTATGAGCAAATTTCAGCAAAATTAGAAATTAAATTTAAGGATGCTTTGTATGTACAATCCCAGCAAAAAGTAGCTGAAAATCAATATTGACGAATATATTCACTTTTGTAATATGAGAAATTGCGTGAATATTACAATTTGATCTCAGCTGCAGTGCAGAGATGTATTTTTTAATATTTATTGCGTTTTTACTGAAATATTCCGAATTTTGTTAATCGAAATGATTAACTTTTGGCAGAGAATTTCGCCTTGTGTCAGATACATGGCTAATTTCATTGAATTATATTTAATATCTTTTTAACCAGTTAGTACTTGTACAATATTATTTGACCAAATATTTCCTCTGTATCCTAAATTACACTTTTGCAAATTTTTAATCAAATTCTGAATATTATTTCCATGTGTTTTTGTCATTTGAATCGACGTAGTTATACGTTTCCCATAAGAACACATGTTAATTCGGTGCAAATTAAAATCTTTATAACCTGTGAACGCTTTAGTGAATCGATTAAAAAATTGTACTGAAGATTTTAAACATATGTAAGGACATTCTGTACAATTTTAATTAAATTCTCAATATTTTGAAAATAGGTACGAAACATCCTTAACTTTAAAATGATACTACTATATCATTTTTCAATTTTTTCTAATAAAATTAAATTCATTGTATTTTTTAACACATTACATGCAAAAGCTTGTAACGAATAAAAGAAAGCTAAATATCCCAGATTTAAAAATACTGTTTAAACATTGATAAAAACAACACATGTAAAACGTCAAAAAGATCGCTTCCTAATATTTCTTCAAGAAAAATTGTTTAAATCATCAATTTTTTATATTATTTTATAATAGACGATGAGAAATGAAATTGAGATATCATTGCATTAAATGTTTGAATAGAACACGATGGGTCGATCGTTAATTAAGGTCGCCTATTGTACACCGACTTGTCTCCCAGTTGTCTTATATGAATTACTCGCGATCGACACGCATTTTTGTCACAATTTGCTCCACGAAAGATTTCTAAGAAAAGGGGAATATCATTTAATTAAGTTTTAATTAAATAAGTGAACGAGATCTTGGGTTGAGTTGATACCAACATTTAAGAAAATCTGCTTAGAATCTGCCATGTCTTCTTACAGATTATGATCACGCTAGTATTATAAAGGGGAAAAGGGAAGAGGAAGGAAGAGAGTTGAATTAACTTTGATGTTCTATAATTAAGGCCAACTTTACTATTTCTTGATATTACGATATCCCGTGCAAGACATATGCGATACATTATTTCACATGACAGGTAATGGGAAATGTAAAGTTGCATATTTCGCCGCGTATACATTCGCGCATCTCGCAGGGTGATCGATAGTGGAGAGTCCTGTTTCGTCCGTGCACTGATTAGAGATGCAGGTCTTTAAGCACGTAACGGGAATATGTCAAAGGACGTTAGATTACGACGCTGGATTGGATTTATTTTCGTACGTGATAAATGAACAAACCGATATTGTATCCGGGATAACGATTTAGCTGGTTGGCACGAGATAATGCATATCTTTTCTTTCAAAATATATTAATAAATTGTATTATATAAAATGTTGTAAATAATATAATAATAATATTAATTAATTAATAATAATAATAACATTTATATAATATTAATTAATAATAATAATAATAATATTTATATAATATTTATATAATATTGTAATATTAAAATATTTATAAATTATATTATATAAAATGTTATATAAATGAAAAACTTAATAGCTCTGTTTTCTCAACATTATTTTGAAAATATTATTTGTTGATCGTTAAATATTAAATTTCTACAAAGAATTATTAAATGTTATTACATGTTATATTTATTTTATAATTCATATATATTTATGCGTTTCATAAAAAATGCGCATCTAAGGGCAATCCATAAACATTTTGCTCGTGCATCATCATGTATTAATTAATTAACCGTAGCAATACATGTGCACAAGTTTTCCGTGCGAGACAGATGCGATTGACACTTCTCGTTATGACACTTCTCGTATTGACACTTCTCACACGTGTCAAAGGTATTTATAATGGGAATATGACGACACACCACGATCGCGATATTATGCAAGTTACATTATGCAGTTAACAAGCTCAATCGAGCCTCTCTCGACTCCCAATTACAACTTATGCTTCTGCAACAAACGCGTTCCGCGGATCGGGAATGCACGATTATCGCGAGTTGCGTTATTCCTCGCGACCATCGAGAGCTTCGCGGCGCAAGTAGAGCGTGTTAAATGACGTTCGAGGAGCCAGAAACACATTTCCCCGCACTGTTCATTCATATATTCAGTCTAGCAGAATCGAAACGCGCCGCCGGCCGGCCGGTGATTTTCCCCTTCTCGGGGAGGGGCAGGGGGGGAGGCTGCGGTTTTACGGAGTGTAGTAAAGGTTTGACCCAATTCAGCGCACACACGGAGGCTTCCCGTCCCTATCTAGTCAATTAATTCCAGCGGCTCCTTTTTATTGCAACAGGCGCCGTCGCCTTTTCCACGTCCGCCTCTCCCGGACCCGTTTCTCTCTCGGCTAATTATTACGGCAGCGTTCCGGAGGTAGAGTCTCGGCCTTCGACTTTAAACGCGATGTTCTTGTTGACGCGCGCAGTTTCCATCGCGAGGTGCGCTCTCAAAGTCCATCCACTCTTTGCGTAATCGCGTTAATGATGTTTCCTCCGCCCTGGTTAACGAGAGCAATTTGTTGTCGTTCGTGCGTGTATCACTCGTTATTATTACACGTGACGTTCTCTCTCTTCCCCCCCCTCCCCCGCGCTTATTTGGAGAGCTGCCAATTATCCTTATTATTGTACATATTTAACATTTAAATGGAATAATTTTAATTAACATCCAAGATTTTCTCTCGTGTTATAATTCTTTTCAATTTACTTTGCATGTTATTGACATTTGCCTCGTTTTTTCGTTTATCTCGGTTGCATTTTTGACGAGAAAAAGTCGAGCAAAATTTCGAGAGAATTATTATTATTATAATTATATTATTATTATATATTATTATATATTATTATTATATATTATATATATTATTATTATATATTATATATATTATTGAATATATTATATATATTATTTTAATGAAACTAAAATATTCTCTTGGAAATCCTGATGCAATATTGCGCAAGTTTCATCGAGTTCATATTTTTAAGATACCTATCTGTGAATTCTTCCGCACGTACCACCTGCGTTACAAGAGTACCGTAAATCAACTCTCGCAAATCCTCGTCCTATAATGACGACGCAGACTTGTTCGAGGTGAGGAGCTCCGGCTTCAAGTGTACGATCGCAAGCACGCATACGTACGCGTCGTTTTCCCGTCTTCGGTGCATAATAAGCGCGTCGTCGCGACGCTCATTATCCATTATATCCCGCGATACAAAAGCACGCTCCGAGCAACGACGATGACGGGACGTTGCTCAATATACCGGTGGCTCTCTCGGAAACCAATAACGCGCGGTTTCCTCGCGCTAAATATACAACGGCACACGTAATCCCTCGTATTCCGCGTAAATTGATGCCGGAGTAATATCGCGCGTAATCAACCCATAATCATCTCCGACGCGACTCTTGGTTCGCGCGATTATCGCTCTAACAAGATAATAATCCTAAGAGCCCGTGCAACACGGAACATTGTTGTAACGTTGCGGTAATATTGCGGCAATATTACGATTCTCGCTGAAATTTTAACGGCCCGCGAAAGCGACGTAAGCGGGCCGTGCGTCGTAGACGTAAGAGCGTTTCCCATACGCGCGATTCCCATCGTTTCCCATCGTTACTATTGTCTGTCTCGCCGATCCTCGGCTCCTCTCGTTCCGTGCGTAGACCCGCGTATCGAGGAGCATCGCGGAAAGAGAAATAACGCGACCGCCGCCGCAGAGCCTCTTTTCTTTCTCCCGCTCTGGAGAGAAAAATCTGCGGAAATAAAAGCCTCGACGAGAGACGCGCTTCCCACACTCGTCGTCGTTCGATAAACTCGTGGTCGCCACCGACGCACGTACACGCATGCACGAGCACGCTTTGTGCGTTGGCAGGTGTCCGCTGCCATATGTTGCCACCGTTAAATATGTATTTATACGGGATGTTCCCGAAATAGACCGCCAACTTTGGTGGCATAGTTTCGACTCGAGAGAAGAATAAAGAGAGATTCGTAATTGATTTAAAAAAATATATCAACGTTGAAGCACAGAAAATTTTTGGCAATTTGTCTCGAAAAGATCCTTGGAAATTGTACGAGTGCCCCAAGCATTCTTATCGCGGCAGGTATTTATCGTTCGAAAAGCGACGAATTTTCCGTTAAATATGTATTTATACGAGATGTTCCTGAAATAGATCGCCAATTTTGGTGGCGTATTTTCGACTCGAGAGAAGAATAAAGAGAGAGAGAGAAAGAAAGAGAGATTCGTAATTGATTTAAAAAAAATATATCAATGTTGATGCACAGAAAATGTTTGACAATTTATCTCGGAAAGATCCTTGGAAATTGTACGAGTGCCCCAAGCATTCTTATCGCGGCAGGTATTTACCGTTCGAAAAGCGACGA